GAATAAAAATCAAGAAGCAAGAGTCACAACGTATTCTGTCAGATGAATCAACGCAATAATATCTGAATCAGAAACCATATGACAGAAGAGGACTACTATTTGGAGTTGGAGATAAGGGACAACAGAGATTAACCGCGGATCGACGGCAGGAGTTGATTCCTTATGATCAGTAAGTTCCTTTCTTGATAGCTAGAGCAGACTCTCTATCCAGTTATCGAACCCTGTAGTAAATGATAAATTAGTATCTACCTTCATCATTGAATATCTACGCTGTATCTACGGAGTACTCTCTACTACAATTCTCCAACCATGCCTCATGCCCATGCAATGTCAACTTAGCTATTCCTACGTACTCCTCCTGACTTGACTCCACTCTGCCGTACCCCAGAGTATTAGTCCCCTCACTAGTCATTTAGTCGACCACACGCAGAAGTCAATCACCCCAGTGTCCATTATTATTGTTTTATGCCATCTTCAAACCCATTCCTTCAACACAAACCTGTACATCTCTAGAATTGATAGGGAAAAAAAAGAAGGAAAGTTGGCGTGAGCTACATACCAACAACTCCATCGCCGGTAGCCTTCCGCCAGGAATGCCACGCGCGCCATTACCAAGGCATGTGGACTATGTACCAATCCAGGGGTGTGTGACCCTTATCCTCCTATGTACCAGCCTACAAGGTGCCACTGCACTCCGTCATCGGAGCTGGGTTGATAGCCCTAAACTTCCTACCTACAATCTGTACCGAGGGATAGATAGGCAGTTTACTGTCTACTGACATGGAATGTTTGGGAATTACGTAGTGACGGCCCCCGATATTTTCGACCCTGCGCTGATGCAAGGATTCATTCCTATCGTGCTGCTGGTACGTCAGGGACCGCTTTCCAGGGAAAGCCGTCCTGGAATAAAAAGACGAATACTCAAGAGAAACTTGTCAAATATCAGGGGTTCAGTATTCATTGTTACATCATTTTCTACATCATTTTCTATCCGTTCAGAATCTGAGACAGCCATTTACACTCGCCAAATGCCAGAGCTCCAGGTCGTCGCCATACACCAAAATAAATACATCTGAAAAACTCCAATCTCTCCCTAGAAGATAAGTAAGTAAGTTAGAGGAGCTTTAAGCTCGACCCGAGCATTTTATTTGCCCTTGGGCTTCTTGGTCTGTGCCAGTCCAAGGCACTCGGCCATGTTGAAAAAGATATCAATAGAATTGTACACTCCGCCAAACAGTTCCTGGCATGGACCCTGCGCAAACACGGGCACATCTGTCAGCGAGTGCACGCCCTGGCTGGCGTCCACTGGCAGGGTACCGTTGATCAGGAACCCGGTCACGGCGTCCTTGTAGTTGGCGTAGTAGTTGGTCTTGGAGCCGGTGGCAGGGGTGCGAGGGCCGGACGCGTGGACCTGGTAGTTCTCCCGGCGATCGGGGAAGGCTACCGTTCCCGAGTGCAGAGTGTATCTGGGATCCCACCGCGCGGGGAAGTGAACGCCCTCCGAATACCGCAGGGTGTTGGCTCCGGCAACGGTGTACTGGGACAGACCAGATTGCTCGTAGACTCCAATGGCCCGACGCTTCTGACGGTCCTCGCTCTGGGCGTTGAGGTACTCGGTGTCAACCGAGCCAGTAACGTCGAATCCGTGTCCGTGATCAGCAGTCACGATGATCAGGGTGTCGTCCAACTGACCAAGAGCCTTGAGCTTCTCAATGGTCGCGCGGACGGTATCATCCAGCTCCAGGAGCTCGCCCAGAGACCGATCATAGTCCAGAGAGTGCATCTGCTTGTCAATACTGGCGGCCTCGGACATGAGGAACCAGCCGTCCTTCCTGTGGCGGGCATTCAGCACGTCGATGGCCTTGAGGGTCATGTCCTTCAGACCAGGCAGGTCTTCGGCATCGCGACCGGAGCCGTCCGGGTAGTTGGTCTTGTTCTGGAGATTGGACTGGTAGACGTTGCGGTCGAGCCAGGTGGCCAGGTTGGAGGTCTGGAACACACCCAGAGCCTTGGTGTTATTGGGAGAGGCATGGAGGGCGGTATTGTTCCAGCTGATACTGTAGCCCTTCTCGGCAAACAGGCCATAGTAGTCCCGCGAAGCGTCCTTGCTCTTGAGGAAGTTCTCTGCACCGGCGCCGAAGATGACATCAGGACCCTCCAAGCTAGTCCACTCGTACTCGGTCAGACCTTCATAGTAAGCGTCGATGACGTGCTCATATTCACCCCGATCACTGGTGTGAGCGGCCAGGCCGGCGGGAGTCGCGTCAGCTAGGAAGGCAGTTGAGACAATACCGATACCAGCGCCCGGGTACCGACGACGGAAAATCTCAGCAATGTTCTCAAACTTCGGATCGTCGAAGGGATCTTCAGAGGAGTCGACGTAAACATTCAGAGCATTGACGGTGGTCTTGTGCCCAGCGTACAGAGCAGTCGCAGAGTTGGCAGAATCGGTGATGAACGAATCCATCGAGTGTGTCATCTGGTGGCCCAGAACGGGGAATTTGTCCAACTGCATCTTGGTCATGTACTTGCCGTTGATACTGCGATGAGCGATGAGGCGAGCAGCGGTGATCATGTTGGTAGTCATTCCATCGCCAACGAAAAGGATGACGTTCTTGGCTCGCCGCTTCTTGGAAAGGTCCCGGACAAGCCAGTTGGCCGTGGTTGTCTGGTTTCCATAGTAGGTCAATGTAGCCTCGTACTCTCCAGGCTCATAGAGTGCAACTCTTCTGTAGGCCTTGGAGGTCACATTGACAAGGGAAGGCGTGTTCGCGTCTTCCGCAAACAGGTCTAGCTATGGTCAGCAGGTGCGCTGTTGTGTCGACAGCTAGTGACGACATACCTTCATACCATGTGAAGTTCCATCTTTCGAGCTTCGGCTCTTCGATGTCAAAGTACTTCGTTACAGGGACTGGCTTTTTACCCTTCTTGGCGATAGTGAACTTGAAGTCGGGGTCGGGTACACCCGTGCGAGCCTCAGAGCCGTTGACGGGAGAGTGAACCTCCAGTCGGATATCGAAATATTGACCGGGAAGAAAATCCGCCCTACGGAGAAAACAGGCGATCAGCTCTAGATTCTCCCACCGCTTATAAACAATGGCAAGCGATATTCTTAGTCAAAACATACTGATCCGGAGGGAAGACACAGCCTAGAGTAGGACAACCACCCAAGCGTTGAAATGTCTGAGCATGGGCGCACGAGGCAAGAAGTGACACCCCGGATACCCAGAGGAACCTCATCTTGACAAAGTCTAAAAGAGACGAGGATTGATCCTTTGATAGAGCAGATTCAACCGTCGAGGGTATCACTCCCTTTATAAGTTATAAAACAAACTTAGTCGGGGCGCCAAGAATCACCCTTTAATGATGCATGAGAGGTACATTGCATTTCCCATCGACAGGAACAGGTACGTACGTATCTCTCAGTCGTCAAGACCGTGCACGAGTGCTGTTGGTGGCACCATATCAGACTGGGAATTAGGAAGGTCAAAGGATTGAGCCAAGACCCGACGGGCTTGGCAGATAACGAGGCGTCCTTGAAATCCGACAATGTCCATCAACGACGAATACGAAACGAGCTTCCCCCACACGTGCACAGGCGAGGTGCTCTCTTAGGAAGCTTGGGTAACAGGGGCACAAGTTGCAATTTCAGTTGCCAAGCAAAGCCGGCGGAGAAAGCGTCTTGGCGATGGCTGAGATGCCAAGAGCACGTGGATGTCCCCAAGAGTGACAATGGTGAGAAAGATGAGAGGTTTAATTACAAGCCGGGAAACTATACGCATCGTATCGTCGATATGTGGCCTTGCTCGTATCCAAGACCAAGTTCTAGATAGGTCTGGCTCGGTTGAGTCCAAAATCGAAAAGCCGAATCACCGATAACCAGGCAACAAGGCAATGGGGTCTTTTAACAATGCGGGCATAGTTCTCTCACTGCTTGATGTTCAGAGGTTGATGTCAAATGCCGTTGGTGACTACGGACTAATGTCGTGCCCTTTGTGGTTGTCCTTAAGCCAATCCAGACAGAATCAATCAGTATGCTGTGATGGTTTCCTGCTCTTGTCCTATTTGGCCACACTAATAGCTCCCAGCAAGCTAAGCAAAAAGGAAAATCGTCGGTAATAGAAGCTCCGTATTAGTTTTCTGCCAACGAAAGCTGCCATTGAGCGCTCGGGGCCCTCCGGCTCAGCTTTGAAAGGGACTCCGACATGGACATGTGAGAAGCTCTCCAGACTGCGAAATGGCAGTGTCCTCCAGCAAGTAGTATTCTCTTGAGGCGTTTATGGTCTCAAGATCGAATCAGAGATGTTATGCAGGCCCAATTCTCTCGTGACACTCGGTACTTAATATACTTCCAGATCTTCCCGACGCATGCGAGCTTAGATCCAGTGGGATGATAAATGACGATCTGGAACAAAGTCTATCCCTGTCTTGGGTAAGCTCGAACTAAATTGTATTTGATGATTTGCAGTCATGCTGTGCCTGTGAGCCTATGAGCCTATGAATCTGGCCTTCGCTTGAAGAGGAGAGATAGTGAGCTAGTCATAGATTGTGTCAAGAGAAAAACCTTCACTTTTGGCCTTGAGTGTGCAAAAGAAAAAGCAGGAACTCGTTTGTTTGGCAGATAGATTCCTTTTTGGGGAAAGGTGGGGGGGGGGGGGGGGTTGGTTTGGATAACGTTCAGCAGGCACACAGAGTAACTCTTTGGGCTTGTTGGTGCCTCGACTCCTCCTTGACCACACTAAGATCACAGAGGTACAGTCATGCACAAGTATGTTGTGTTGGGGCCTCTAAAGTTGATTATTGCGAGTGTTTTTCTGCAATAGTGTGTTTCTGTTGTGGTTTGGAAGTGAGTGAGACAAAGCAGGTTGATAACAAGCTTGTGTGGGCCACTGTATCTTTTCTCTTTTTGGCGAAGCGCGCATCATCAGTTCTCTGAGATCTTGGCAACTTTGAAACAGTTCTTGCACTTTCTCTCCTTCATGCTCCAAATTCAGGACGAGAGTCTACTCCCCTTCTCGCTTTCTACTTAGAACATCCTTGAATCTTTTGGATTCAATCGACCTTTGTTTCTCCGGCAGTGATTCAATTCCTCCTTGACGATGGACCAGCAGTCTCCGGCTCAACCCCAGCAACGTCCCCCGCCGTCACTCACAAATCCTCGCTTTACCCTTGAACTAGAGTTCGTCTCTTCCCTCGCAAACCCCTACTATCTTTCCCACCTGGCGGTCACTTATCCCAACCTCCTGGGAATCTCCAAATCCGGCGACGACGGTAACACCGGCACCGAGGGACCAGACCCCGAAGCGCAGGCCTTCGCCTCGTACCTTGCCTACCTCTACTCTTACTGGAAAACACCTGAATACGCGCAATTTCTGACGCATCCCGGCGCGACTTTACGAGCATTGCGACTTCTACAAGAAGAGACTTTCCGTCGCGACATCATTCGCCCCCAAGTCATCGAAGCTTTAGCGGGGACCGGCCTTGAGGATGGGCCAGGTGGACAGAACGTAGAGACGGGAGACACGGAGCATAATGAAGGAGACCAAGGGACACAGCAAGACAAAGAGAATACCGCTTCAAAGACATGATGGGCTTGCGTCAATCGATAAATGATTCTTTCGTCCAACAGCCCTCACGGCAGTGTCGTGGCATGCTCGGCGCTCTTTTGACGTGTTCCCAAGGAGTAGACCCGGGGCACAATTTGCTATATATTGTAGACACAGGTTCTGCAGTGGAGTACAGGGCTCCCCTTATATTAGCGGGACTACAACGACAGTATGATCGTGAGATTCATGCATGATGCAGATGATGCATGTTCTTACATACAGACGATCATGTGTGACCGAGGCATTCCCTCAACTGTTCTTCATACCGATTACAAGGAGATCGGGGCGAGAAAGCTCCAAAAGCTTCATGCTTTCCGAGGATGTTGCTTGTCAAATGGATCGCAATGCTATCCCCATTCATCTTGGTTCAAATGTGGGGTCTGTTGCGGGACTCGGCTCAATTGCTGGTGTTCATCTCCGTTCCTGTTATCTAGACCAAGCGCATTGGTTCAGTTACAGATTGCAACAAGCTCTCAAAAATACTTCTACTCCTTGAAAGTGGATATGTAGTTTAGAAAGAACATGGTTACAGTTGAATCTTTGGATTTTGCGTTGTTTCCGGAATTGCATGGGGGTCTTTATTCTTATGCAAACCCAGCCAGTCATCAATAGTTACGTAGGCACTCCTTGTCTGCTCAGCTCCGTCCAAGTAAAAGCATGCCATCAAATGTCAGAGAATATTATCACCAAGGACGTAATGCTATTCTCATCCCAGTACATCTAACTAATTCTATGATCCCTTACCTTACCTCGATTGATCTTGATGCACACCTGCGACGGAGGCTGGTGCGGCCGACGGCCAAGATTCCCAGCCTTAACTCCGTGCGCGACCCAACGCTACTGTACCTCTCAAAAGTAACCTGGAAAAACACCAAGTAACAATCTCACTCCTCCTGCGTCATTCCGCAACACTCGGATCTCACACTCCTCTCATCATATCTTGTGCAGACCGACACCTAGGCACAAGCAAAATTCTTGAACTACACTCCGATGGATTAACCCCGCGCTTGGTGTTTATACCGACCGAATCTCCTTTCTCTCTTCTCCGGCTCTTCTGCCAAACTTCACACTGGTTTCTGTAGGCTTGTGCGGAGAGCAGTGCAGTGACCTCGTCCCTCCCTGATCGGCCGACTTGCATACCCATGACATAAAAGCGGGCACGTTACTTATCCAGCTCTATTTGGAAGATTAATCTCTAGGTAGTGGCCACCGTTTTCACCCCTCCAGATCGCGTACGGCGTTGTTGACAACCGGTCATCCGGCCCCTCGTATTGTCATACAAGTACCTCATAATTCAACCTTGCAGCCATCACTTTCAATGGAGAGCGTGCGCCAATCATGTCGGCCTAAACACCAGGTCTTGGTCCTTAAATGCTACCCACAATACCAGAAAGGAGTCCAGGATGTGAAACCAAATTCCAGTGAACTCTCTTATCTACTCTACTATGTGAGCACGCGCCGGAGCAAGCTGACCAAGGTCGGCGCCTTTCTGGAGAAAAGGGCAGCTCGGGATGTCTGGCGTAACAGGTTAGGGTGAGTTTGAAGCGAGCTCGCCGGAAGTTGTCAACCGTCGCGGTCGCAATTTCTCCTGGCTGACTTGGGTATTCTACATAGGAATGTACAGGTAACACTTCAGATCCTCACGGCGCTCATCGAGAAAGTCCCCCGCGATCTTCCTATCTATGCCAGATCGGTGATGACCGTCCTTGAAACCGTCCTACGCTCCGGAGATCTTTCCATGGTTGAAGAGTCGATATCAACGTTCGAGACGTTCTGTCGGCATCAGGATATGGCCGCGCTATCTGCTGAACAGGATTTCGCCAGTCAATACCGGGAAGTCGTGCGGACATATGCAGATTTCGCAGACCAGACCAAATCCGTTTCTCAACTGAAGACTGCATCGAGCGGCCCGATGGTAATACGTTGGAGGACAGCGGGATTGCGAGCGATCAAAGGTGTGGTTAGTTCCGAAGCAGGTCTCGCGGCGGACGGCGGAGATTCACTGAGAATCCTTCTCCCGGTCATTCTGGATTGTCTTTACAATGGTGACGATAGCCTGTTGGTGTCCCTCGAGCTCAGACTGCACGAGTCGGAGAAGAATGAGCCGGCGCTTGGTCGACGACGGAGGGTTAGTACCGCAACCGTGCAGACAGTTGACGCAATGGATGGAGATCCTGCATTGGCGTCACGGTCTGCGGCCGACGTTGACAGGCAGGCGGAAATGGACATGCGTTTGCTTGCTCTCCGATGCTTGGAACGCATAGTCGTGACGGGGAGTAGCCGTGGTCAGATTCGCGTCACTACGAAAGTGGTGCTGCAATTCATCCTGGGCAACGGCCCATTATCCGAAGATGGCAAACCTATGCATATTGATTCGACGGGCGGCTGGGCTACGTCTCTAGTGGAACTCATCGCCAAGTGGTGTCCCGTTCAAGTCCGTTTCATCATTTTGGTTTCGGCAATGGAGATGTTGCTCGAGGACCAGCCCACAGAAGACACCCTGCAACGCTCGCACGCCCTGATATACTTGATCGACTGGTTGCTCAAATCCCCTGTAAACATGATGGGTCTTAGTGTTATTGACATTCTGCTGGGCCTGATGCAATTCATGTCGACCCTGTTATCGCGCCCAGCCAGCGCGAGGTCTGCGGAACAAGGACTGGGCGAGAAGTTGAACGATCACGACGTTGTCATTTCCCCTGAGAGATTGGAGATGCTTGCGCTACTTAAGAGGACTATTGGAGATCTCGCGACACATATTTACTACGGTGATCAGGTTGTCGATATGGTCAGGACGATCCTGACTCGCGTGAAGCCATCCATCGACAATAAACTCTTACCTGCCACGGCCTTACCGAACCAGTCAGACAATGCAGAGGGTAGTACTAATTCAGCTGGGTTTCCTGGAGAGATGAATGCGGCGGCCTTCTCGCTGCCTATTGCAAAAGTGACAGCGCTTAGAGCAATCAAAGATATTCTCTCGGTAGCCAATTCGAACAGACACACAGCCGCTGGAGTGGAGACTAGGAACCCTGTGGGCATACATGCCTGGGAAGGAACGCAGTGGCTTTTGCGTGAATCCGACAGGGATACTCGCCACGCGTATATCGATGCCTTCCTCACATGGTTGTCGTTGGAAACTACGCAAGATGATATCAGGGCTACATCCGGGCCAGTGAAGGGAACAGGCACTCTCCCAAGACGTGAATCGCCGGAAGTCACTGAGAAGGTTGACAAGCGACCCTTGAACGTGAGTCAGAGAGAGAAAGTCATCATAGCGGCTCAGTTGAACTTCCTCCGACTGTTCCACTTGACCATATACGATATTGCGCTCGACTGCCCTACAGACGAATCCGAGATTCTGCTACTTCATCTCCTTCTCACAAGCCTTGTGGAACGACTCGGAGTCAATGCCGTCAGATTTGGGCTTCCCATGGTCCTGAAGCTTCAAGAGGATTTAGCATCTGTGCAGTCCTTGCGTTCTCCAACTGCCAAGGTCAACATCGGAAGCTTGGTCCATGGATATCTGTGGGCAATGTGCGAGAAGTTTGAGTTGGAAAGCTATAGAGTTGGCAACGAAATTAGGATAGAGATTGACAGACGGAAAAAAAATGGCCTTTGGCTCGACAGAGTGCGTATGCCTGCCATTCGTATCGACGATATCATCAAATCGCGTGAGAAGTCTCCGCGCAACGACGATATCATGGCGCAAAGCGAGTTTATCCCTTTCAAGGCAGGTATTGAGGAACTTGTCAACCGAATTGAGGAGGTTTATAATTCCTCCATGACCTCGCCCGCTCACAGCCCTCCGGCATCACCCGGACACAGCTATGCTCTTCCCGTCCTGGGACATGGAGCCGCGACTGCTAATTCTCTCAAGTGCAATTTACCGTCATCTATCAAAGAGCAAATGCTTTCACCATGGTCCAGAGAGGCTTGTCTAGCGGCCGCTGAGAAGGAGAAGGCAGAGGCTATGTCTATCAACGGATCAAAACACGGTACACTAGGGTTGCGTAATTACCCCACCTTAAATGGCGCCGGTAATAGCTCTCATTCAATCGCTACCTCCGCGCATCAGAGCGCCTTCGGTGCTGCAGCAGGTCTGCAACATCTCCGGCGCACGAGCATACCTGACTCGCAAGGTACACCTGTCAACGGCTCGGGCAGAGAGTCGCCAGTGCGCGTCAACGAACTGAGACGGGTTCTTTCTGTGAATGTGGAGGGTAATGCTCGCCGGTTGAGCCCACTGCGCGGGCGGCTGGATGCTTCGAATGGCAGTATTGTCTCCTCGAGTAGTGAGAGCATGGTCAGTGGCTTTTCGTTGTCTGAATATGATGCGGATGGCAACTCAATCAGACCACAGTCCATTCGGGATGGTCGATTGTCCGCCAACGGAGACGGCATGGAAACACCTAAAGCCTCTTCTATTGGTGTGAACGGCGGCCAGTCTCGGCAGTCTTCATTGTCGTACAACTTGCGGTCTGATGATATCCCTCCGGTGCCGCCGATCCCGCCATCTATAAGCCTGCCCGGAGGGTTTCCGAACGATTCTCAGCGTCCATTGGCAAATGGCGAGCGACCCTCGACCGCTCCCGGGCCCCGTCAGGTTTTCACCAACGGGAACCAAGGGACGTTCTCTGCGGATAACGAGAGGACCCTGAGCAGACACAAGAGCCGTTCCAGCACTGGTCTTGCGGCCGCAGCTAATTCTGACAAAGCTTCATACGTGACTGACGGAGGTCCTCCCGACGCTGCCTTGCGTCGTGACGTGCAGAACCTCATTAACGGATTTCTATCGCCGATGGATGCCGAGTCGAGGCGCAGCGGTACCAAAGCCTCTGGCCGCAGGGCCAGCAGCACGCACGCTGGCAGAAGGAGGGCGACTGGAGGGATTGGACGTCCTCCTTATTAGGCCTCCTAGTTCATTCAACATGATGACTATCAATCTTCCTGCACAACCCTTCTACTTCTTCTCTTCGCGTTCGGGCCCCTCGGCAGGCCCCATCCCCCCATCTACTATGCCGACTAGCATGCATATAATCTTATACCTTTCTCTGATTCTCAAAACTCCATTGCCGTAACACTTCCTTTGTCCAAAAAATTTTCTTTCCTCACCTTTTATTAATCTACTAGGCGACTTGTCTTGTCTATATTGGCTCCGTTATGGCACATTCGTGTATCATGTATCGATATCTGCTCATAGAGTTTGCTGGCTTCGAGTACCCCCGTTCCTTTTCTCTTCTCCTTGTTCTTTCAGCGCCGGATCACAGAACATACCATGGTTGGGTAACTCAGCCGCCCCAGTTATTGTCTCATGTGAATAGGCGGGAATGGCATTTTGTGTGTATGTAGATTTATCGGGAAATATATATATTTGCAAGTCTTGAACGATGTTAGTGAGCAAGTGTCAGCGAAGTCTGGGTATATATAACGATAAACATCGATGCTTGCGCAGACACGACAACGCGGTTAATCCAAAAGAGAGAAGTAGAAACTCAACCGAGCACATGGCAAAACGCTCAGCCTACAAGCCAGTCTGTTTGAGCAGAGTATTATCCGGAGGAAGCTCCACCTCGACCGGCCCAAAATACTCCTTGAAGACCTTCTCCAGTGTCTCCTCAGCCAGCTGCATATGACCACCTGGAACAGTCCTAAAGTCCAGCTTTCCCTGTTCATCCAGCGTCTTCAACCCCAGCCAATCCTCCTTATACAACCGCCTCTCCTTAAGCGGCGTCACCTCGCCTGTCGTCCTATTCACCTCCGCAAACCACGCACTCTCCTTCGGATTCACCATGGTATCATCCTCAAACATGTACATCGCAAAGTGATTCAACCGCCGCAGATTCTCCGCATACCTCTCATTCTTCAGCACGCGCTCGTTGTTTATGTCTGCAAGGAAATTGCTATGTTCGAGGTACGCGTCCAGCTCCTCCGGATCGCGGAAGTACTGCGCCGGCACGAACCGCGACTGCGCGAGGCTCGACCACCGGCCCGCGCGCAGCAGCGCCTCCGCGCCCCGGCAGATCCAATCGCTCCACCCGCACTCCTGGAACTCGGCGATCCCGTTGTGCTGGCTGCCGAAGGTGACGAGGTTGCGGACGGGCGGGTTGTTGCACCGCTCTAGGTACCCGCGCAGGAACTGGCCGCCTTGCGAGAAGCCCAGCGCGTTGACGGCGGGGGCAGTCGAGAGGATTGGATCCGCGCGCAGCTGGTCGCAGACGAGCGCGATTTGCTCGGTGAGGTTGCCGAGGAAAGTTGCCTGGCGGTCGGCGCTGGCGGTGTCGCCGAGGTGGATGAGGTGCACGTAGGTTCCGGGGTTTGTGGACTCGGCGAGCGCGGCGACTTCTTTCATGCCGTCGCGCTGGAAGTCGTCGCCGAGGCCGTGCCAGATAACTAGCGGGAGGGGTGTGAGTTCTGTTTCATGGGGCGGAGGGGGATGCTGCGGAGAGGATGGGGAGGGTGAGGATGAGGAGGCTGGTTAGGTAGTGCATCGGTATGTGTGTATGTGCCCTCAGTTTGCCCGAGTAATTTCCTGCCTATATTTTCTTGATAAAAAAGGGCAATATGATGATGGCTATCTTCCTTGTAGGGATGAGGTTGTTGGAAGCGGAGGCAGCAATGAGAGCTGTCCGCTATCGGTCACGTTACTGTCTTATCACCCAAAAAGGGGAAAGTAGGGCAGGAGTGTAGGGCTAATTAATTGCGCCTGTGACCAGCTATTTTTCGTCTTTGTACGGGATAACCAGGCTTAACGCGATTACCATGTTATTACTGATTCTATTGATATATCTCTATAGTATATGGTCTGTTGTACTGACAGTAGATGCTGAGTCGCGTTGTTCAAGTCACCCGACTAGTCTAGAATACACATATATATATCAGAGATCTCCGTATAACAACAGAGGATCAGGTGATGACGAGAGGAGTAAAGGTTGTAAGACATTTTCTGTCATTTTTTGCCCGAATATTCTGGGCGATGGTTCTATTTGAGCCCTGTGCTCATTGTGTCCCGGAGTACAACCTTCGATTTTGGAAAAACGCCTTGAGTCGGTTGATGTTGCATTTCTCTCAGCACGGGCTACAGAAAAGCTGCGCACGGATCCAGGGTTGCTGTCGCTAAAACTTGGAGTCCCTGTGTAAATTCTATCGATTACATTGATTCGTCCATCATCACCAATACCCGTGTGACTGACCCGTGAGGAGCCTTGGGTGTCCGTTGGATTGTCCGGACTTTGGCTGGCAAATCCATAGATCGATGTCGCGTGACTGTCCTCTGTTAATGAAGTAATTTTCGGTTCCTTGACTGCAGAGTTCCACGGAGTCGACATCCAGTCTGTTGTTCCATTACTTGCTTGATCCCCTGCAATATCTATAGGTTGGCCGATTATCACCATCGGTGATGTATACTCTCTAGTCCGTGAATTTCCACAAGGAGTGTCTTTCTGAATAACTGGCCCCAATGGATAAAGAGGGTTGACCTTCTGGTTCAATGGCCGTCGTATACTGCACCTTGGCTCTGGAAGCCATCCAGAAGGTGACCGCGTGACTGCCGCTGCACGTTCATGTTCATGATGACCGAATGATTGATCGAGGGAGAGTGAATATTTTGAGGACTGTGAAAACGGACGCTGCTCAAGCTGCGGGCCTCGATGGCGATCGGGACGTGGACGTGTCCTTACCATTGTCTCATCATTGGAGCACATTCCCTTCTCGGCAGCTATCTGATCGTCAATTGTGAAGCGATTTTGGATGATTGACCCGGATGATTGATGGACTTTGTTGCTGTCATGGTGCCTCCAGGGCGTCGAGATTGACGCTCCAAAATCCTGACCCAGAAACCCGGGTGTTTGGATCAGGCCACTGTGGTTCCTGCTGGATGGTATCCGATCCGGGATGGCAGCTTCAGAGAGATGAGATCGTGAGGTGGTCATAGAATGTATAGACGACTTAGGATTTTCTGATTTCTTCTGACAATATAATGATCTGTCAACCGAGTCTTCCCTTGCGCTCCATGCCTTGGCGTCACTGTATGGCTGTACTGACGGATCCGAGCCTTGGTCGGGACGGACTGATACATCTCTATCAAGGAGCATTGGTTGTGAAGAAAAGTTCTCGTGACGCTCTTTGAGAATGTCTTCGCCAGCATGGCATCGCCGTCCATTTATCTTAATCTCTAAATCTTCAATCCTAAGTCGATCCGACGTTATATTCTGTCGAGGAGCCCTGCGAGACTTGATAAAGTCAGATGGCACAGCGCTGTTTTCCACGGCAGTTATTCTCGTTCGGTCGGCCTCGGTTAATCTTCGTCTTTTGCCAAAGTGCTCGACCTCTTCGACTGGTGTGAACGAGATCTTGAGAGGTCTTGCAGCTCCGACAGCAGCCCAGTCTGTTGTTTCTAGTAACTGACGCTTGATATGTTCTATGATATCGGGCGACTGTGAGTTATTCACTTGGTCAGAACAGACTGAAGAATCCCTAGCCAACCGTGACGGGGAGGGATTGGCCGTAGTCTATTTGACATACACAGTTTAGCTGCAGATCCAGAGGATGGTCATTCTTCCACCCGCCATGGAGCCACACAATCCTCGGGTTCGAGGAGCAAGAATCCTACCTGACTAGCCAATCCATGCCTCTGAGTCTCGTCTCCAGTGGACTTTGCCTTAAGCGATGTTCCAAAAGTGGCGAATTCAATGAGCGATGGAGCCTGTCGAGAATCTTTTGTGCTCCTCAGTCTTGATTTTGCAAACTTCTGCTTCTGATTTCTAGCGAGATTGCTGGAGCGATTGTTCGAATGCCGTTGCAACCGACCTCCTGTCCAGTTCATTGCAATATGTGGCAAGTAGATGAGCAGACGACGGTCAAGAGATGATTGTAGATGCTCTGTATAAGTGTTCTGAGGGTGTGCCAAATCCTCAGGCCGTCATGTGATAGCGGAAGGCAGTTCAACATGCCCATTAAAGGTCCCAATACCATTTTGCCAGACTGATCGTATTCAAGTATGCGGTAATAGTTACATTGATAGCTGACTACGAGCAGACTGTAAATTGTTCAAGGGGACAAACTGCAACGACTCTACTTTATGGTGGAGGTCTAAGAGGATAGTCCCCAAATTGGAGTGACATCGCGGGACTGTTGCAGCAGCTGCATGTCATGGCCTTCTGCAATCGTGCAAGTCAAAAGCGCACCCTTTGCTTCGGTGCAATTGTTGCCCAAATGACTTGCAGCGAAGCGGAAGCTTAACGGAGTTGATCCATCGCGACTTTATGACGGGAGTTTGAGCACTAAGGAAGGGGCTCTGAAGCTCATGGCCAGTCGTCGTCGGTCCCAGATGGATGGTCAGGCTATTACGTGCATGAAAGACTCCATCGCCTGTACAGAAGTGAGCTGGAGGGGAAGGTTGGTACCTGACTCAGTCTATCGGGCAGGTATCTTGGTATGAACAAAACTTCTTATCTCTGCCGTTAAGCTTTCTGTAGGGCTTCCCAAGGTTAGTTCCGTAAGTTTCCGTCTTCGCCGGGCTCGCCCAAAGAAATCCTTTGAAGGGAGCGGGCCGTCCCGGAAGACGGTCTTGAACAGTACGAGAACCAAGGTAGCACTGGCACGAAGCCACTATGTTCCCGAAGCTTATGGAGATCCCGATTAGATAATAGAGGGCAAAGCAAACAGTGCAAATTATCACGTGATGCCTCGCTTCAAAACCGCGTCTTCCCACAGAGCAAAGAAAGTTCCCTTCTTACTCCGTACATGGTCCAACATCAACCTCAACAATCTCAAAAACGCTTGTGGCATCTATCAGTCCAATGGATGGCGACAAGATTGCCGTATAGCTGTTCGGCCTGTGCCTTGATGCAGGCACAGTCGTTTGTACTTACAGTGCTCAGAAATCGGGTCATATCGGTGCCTGCCTTCTGACGACTCAGCGTCCAAATCACAAGGTAAGCGCTTTTTTTATTTTCAAAAAACCAATTTTTCTTTTCATGAGAATTGTCTCGAAAGTGCCCCACTATGTTCTCCCTCAATCTGAGCCGGACGGGATGATGCAAGGACCTATTGTGTCCTTGATATGATGATCACCATTACCAATAAGCATAGTTCAACTGAAATCTTCGGATTGCTGAACGACAACCTTCTACCATCTTTCACCCTATCTGATAAATCTCCCGTCTGCGCTGCTCATACTGTTCATGTTTCTCAAGAGAGGATTGATTTTTTTTGATGAGTTGCTAATAATTCTCGTCAACAGGTGCGAAAAAATAAAAAAAAAAATAGTCGTAGATAAAAATGAAGGGCCAGGCTCCCTCCGACTCCAGTCCCCTCATGCATTGCTGCCCAACCTGGACGGATTACGCTGCAGCCCAAACCAGTAGGAAGTGGATTCTCTAATCTGACGATGCACGGTCGTAGATAAATGCACTCTGCTCACCCTTCAGTATCCTGTTTGCGCTCTCTGACAGCGGTTTTAATGTTTCTTCGCAGGCTGAGCAGCAGGAGCAGCAAATTACTGCACATAGTGAGGCTGCAAGAGGGGTGAAACTGCCAGCTACCCCCTGGTAACCTGCAGAGGAAGATAGTTATCCTAGTTCCCCGATGCGTAGGAAAATTTGACGTGTTGCCATCTCATCCAAACGATGAGTTTCTGACATTTCGGCGATGTTCACGAGGGAAAGTGGGGCACAAGAGTAAAGGAGGAGCTGATAGTAGTCTGGCTGATCAGCGTGTTCCATCAGCCGCCTTTCACTGGCTGTGGGCTGATCAGGGACGGCATCAGCGACTATTCACAATGCCGTATCCTCTCGCTTGTAGCCTTGTGACCTTGTCGCTGGATCTGACTCGCCCTCTCGCATGAGTCGCATCATATTAATTCTATGATGTTCCGCTCCATGTGAGGCAGATTGAGGGAAATCTTGGAAGGCTCCCGCAATCTCGCCCTGCACGAGATAAATGGCGGGAGACGCTCTCATCCAATCGACTCCGTAGTGCGTCAGGTTTGTTCGAGAAGGAATCGGCGGATGATGCAAGTCTGCAGCCCTCGGACTGGCACATGGCCAATAGAAACAGCCATCGCAAATGGAGCAGGCCTTTTAAACCTCCGCTTCACCGCTACATATTGAATTTCCGAATATCCCAATAATAAGAATGCCAAAATTACTCCGAAAAAAGGACAATTGAGCGGGAAATGAATATGATACATCCACTTTTGGAGACGCGAGTGTCTCTGCCACGTCAAAAAACCGCAATGATTGACAGCAGAAAGGGGAACTATTGGCAGATGGCACTACCATCGTCACCACTTGGCGCTGCGCCAGCTGCATCCGAAATCACGCCCTCTTCTTGCAGGATCGAATCATCGGCCTGGATAGTGCCAGTGAGGCAGTTGGCTGCTGCAGGATCCCAGGCCGACCGCACGCTTGGACGGTCAGTTTCGTTGCTTTTGCCCACTTTGCTTGCCCCTCTCCTGATCGCGTCTCCTGAGTCCCCGAACAGGACGAGGTCTAAAAAGGCCGTTGATCCCCCTCGAGCCCAATTTTCTTGATCTTCTCTTTTCTGATCTCATCATTCTCATCTTCAGCTTCAGACTTGGCAGCCGACTTCCATTTTGATACCCCAGGCTTTCAAGAATCTGCATCTCTTCTCTCTGATTCGCTGTCAAATCGACTCTTAAAATCAGTACTAGTTCATACAATACTGCCAATCTCGCTTTGAAGGCTTAGTTGTTCTCGTTCTCGTTCTTCTCCGATACTGCGCAAGCTTCCAAACCCTGGATCTTGGAAAGAAGAAAACCATTACCCTGGCTTCAAACAACCCAGACTGCCTTTTGGAATACATACCACCTCCCGGATAGGATCTGCTTTCACTGTTGTTTCTGTTTTTGTCCATACTCCCAGGCTTAAGTCTGAACAAATCATCGACAGATAACAGGTAGACCCCTCAATTGTTTCCTTGTCATTCCCTTTTTCTTTATTTCCTTTTCTCCCCACTTTGACCTGGCCATTCTGCGACAAATCTGGACCGCTTTCACAACTACATGCCTCCCCGACTTGGACTCCCTGGACTTACTTCCCTTGCTGCTGGATTTCACTGTCACATGACAGTCTTATGAATAATGACTCCCGCTGGACTACAAACGTCTACAGCAACCGCTGTCAGACTGGACACTCAAGTGTTGCTTAATGTTGCACACTTGCACATCACTTACTATGGCCTTCGTCGTTTTGCTTTGCCCTACTATGGACTTCTCACTTCAATCCTGGAGAGAGACTTGGATTTTAAGTTGACCTCGGAGCCTTCATCTTTGCCTTGGAGAACTTCACTGGACTTTGCCTGACCTACCTTGGATGACTTGAATGATGCTCTATGAACTCCGTTCTTCGCTGGACCTCTGGATCTCTTGAATAGTGCCTCAGGAATCACATACTCTCGGAGTCGACCTTTATGGGGCCATCAAGTTACCTGAACTCCGGATTTACCCGCTCTCAGTTCATTGTAGTCTCAGCAACAAAGACTTCCTCTGGATAACAGCACCGACATGAACAGGCCACCCGCAGGATAGATCCGACGACGTGTAGCATTAGCTAAACGTCATTCCTTTTGAATTTGCAGCTGTCGAGCTTTTCACTCTTCTCGGTGGCCATGATCATCACGCGGGAACAACGACTTTCGCCTAAGTGGACTCGCCATCGACCATTACCAGGTGCCCTTGTTCTGACGATTTTTTACGGCCGACTTCCAAGCAACGTCTGCAAAATGGCTAAACTGGCGCTTCAGGACATCGACTGGATCTTTAGGATGGACTATTGATTTCTATTTTATCTGCAATGTGTTATACTATAACGTTCGTGAATGAAAGTGGATTACTGACTTCAATTGTCTTTCAGTCTAGTGCTTGTCTTTGATTGCTTTCCAGTCATAGCTGGGCCTATAAAACACAATGTCTTGCAGTGTCAAGAATGACCCCGAGCGGGTTTCTCTGTCCCAGTCAGCTTTGCAAAACATGGACCAGATCTCTCAGACCAGACAGCCCCAAGGAATCTCAAATATGGCCCCAGAATGATCCAGGATGATGAACTCTCAAGCCAGGATAACTTCTCATTGTGCTCCAGTACACATCATGGCCATGGAACTCCTCACGACCTGAAATGGGCTTTGCATGATGCCGATGCATTTGACCACAGCGTTATCTCATCGAGCAAACCTGAAACTCCTGAGGTGCAACTGCTTTCTTTCTCTTTGTCTCAGCAGCTTTTGCCTACCACCGTTGGACCAAGCGATGTTATCTACCAGTCAGGATCCGATTTTCAGGATATTGGGGACCGCAATGACCTGGACTTCTCGCACGCACATGACTTCAGTCATTATTCTTCCCTTGTGGATTTTGCCGCATATGATAATGATACCTATGGCCAGAATGGGACCCAGCCCTGCACTCCTGATGATGCTCTTTCCGTTGGACACAGTTCTCATGCTGAAGATTGCCACATGGTCACCACCAATGAATGGAACTCCATTCTAGCAGACACCAGAAACTACCAGCCTTCTTCCATGGATCACATCCCAAGCAACCTTTTCCAGCCAATGCCTGTTTCTCCCCCTTTGACCGAAGCAAGCAATGATGTTTCCGTGACCACCTCTTGCTCCCACTCAGGATACCCAACTTTTATGACCCACGAAGAAGCCATGTTGAAGGATGTCACTGCCACGCCACTTGGGAATCAGGGAATCAATTTGGGAGATCCTCTCTTCCCTCTCACGCCGCCTCTTAGTGAGCAGGATCCAAACAGGTGAGTTCTTTGCATAATGTTTGATGTAAGGCAAATATTGATTCGTTTGCAGAACTATCAGGCCTACCAAGAATGCTCGCAGACCTGCCTTGCAGACATCATCACCATCATCCCAGGCCCAGGTCAAGCAGGAACAGGAATTCTTCCCACCGCTCCCTGCGAGAGAGCCCTCTCGGCAGAGGTCCAAGGAGAACACGGAGTTGCGGAACCCTCGCGACCATCCATATTATTCCTACCCCACCCACAGTGATGGAAAGTATTACTGCCCCTTCGCCAACGGAGAGAAGTCTTGCAATCACCCCCGACTACGCAGAAATGCGCTTACCAGTGAGTGTGAACCGGCTATTCTGCTCTAGTGTTCAAATCGCTAATAAATCAACCAGCAAATACCTTGATTCCCACCTGAAGCCCTACCGTTGCAAGGTCCCTGCCTGCATGGAGGCTCAGCTGCAGTTCTCATCCAATGCCTGTCTGTTCCGACACGAGCGTGAGGCCCATGGATTCCACGGTCACGGTGACAACCCTCACCTTTGCCTGTTCGAAGGATGCGACAGATCCGTCCCTGGATATGGATTTCCCCGTAGATGGAACCTCTTCGACCACATGCGTCGTGTTCACGACTACGCCTCTTCCGAGAGACCTAGCTCTCCGGAACACTCTCCCTCTGGCGTTTCTGCTCCTAAGAAGAAGGAGGCAAGCGGACGCAAGCGGAGAGTTACTGGTGCATCTGGTGCGCAGACAATGAAGCGGACCAGATCCACGCACTCTCAGAACAGCACCTTGAAGGCTCTCCAGCAGACCGCAAGCCACCAAGGCCAGCGGCTCCAGAATGCCGAGCGGAACTACTACAACTGCCGCGCTCGCTTGCTCGAGGAACTCAGCAATATCACCCCTCAGGATTCCTCCATGCACGACAAGGTCAATGCCAGCCTTCAGGAATTAATCACTCTGGGACTGAACTACCGTCACATCGAAGCTAGCCAGACTTCTTCCCTTCCCAACGGACTTCCGGCATGAATGCGCTCCTGGATCTGAGTTCCTTCGTTTTTGACTTCTTCCCCTTTGAGGACTCCTTTTCGGAGATCAACGGTCTATCTTGACCTCTCAGTGCCCGGGAGGCTAGTTCCACGCATGGATAAATCACAGACACGCCCCGGAAAGCTTTCCACTGTGGCCATTGGATTTGCTGTTTGTGTCCCAAGGATTCTTTTCCATGCTCAAGAGTTTTCGCAGTGCTCGCCATACCTCCATTGGTATCGGTGCGTCTTGCTTAGAGAGCTCTTTCTTTGAACAGACTACTGGACCCATATCGGGCCAGTAGCACCGCAGTGTCAAACTTGCTTGACGCGCGGCTGTCTCGCCACAAGCCCAACGGCCAGCTTCCTGTGGAGCCAGAGCCAGAGATGACACAGGTCATCAGGGCAGAGACAGGCTCTCGTCGCTTCCTTATTTCCTTCCAAAATTTCCTTACCAGGGTACTTGGATTCCCTCTTTTTTTGTATAACAGCTTTTTGTATTCGTGGTGATGGGGTGGGCTCTCCGCTGCCCAGCACTTTCGGTGGCTGCTGGTCTTGACAAAATTAAAAGTCGGGCAAGCTTTTGTGTATGGAAACATTGTGGTCTTTTTTTCGGTTACTCAGCTTAGACTTTTTGTTTATTGTTTTATGTTTGTTTTGAGCTTGGCTTTTTACTTTGATTTCGATGTGGATAAAGTCTTGAATCAAAAGTCAATATTACAATTCTCTTATTGACATTATCCTCTTCATTGCATTAGAAATAAGCCACCAGTTCGTAATGACAATAATTTACTGTCTATCTCTATATCCAGATCATTAGTCGTCACGATATCATCCAACTAAACGACTTTTCTATGGACCAAAGCCAACAAGCTATGCAATGCGATAAACAACCCAGAATCAAACCGCGCAGAATCTTGAAGAGAAACGAATTCAGCTTTTAAACTCCGCTCTCCCCTGCAAATTCCGCATTCAGGAATCTCACAAACGCATCTCCCACCTGGTCAGGCGCCAGCCCGCCCTTGACAGCCGACGCATGGTTCACCCCAACATACGCCCGATTCAGTCCGATCCACTGCCTCCGCAGACGCTGCAGACGCGGTAAAGCAAGGATACCGCCTGCACCGGCAAGCTCGTCCGTCGTACCTGACGTGGCCACGTGGGCCGGGATGAAGATAGGCGCCGATGCCTCGGGGACGGGGATTGCGATGCCGCGGGCGTCAGGACTCTGGGCTAGCGCTGCCTCGGCGGAGGGGTTGGTGAGTGTGTAGGAGCGGATTGCGGTGACGATGGCGGAGGTGCATTTTTCCATAGCGTAGAGTGCGGAGGAGTCCGTTGCGGTGGGTTGGACGGTTGCCTGGTGGGGTTTGATCTTGGGGCGGTGGAGCGCAGCGGTGCGCGGGGTGCGTGCTGTGGTGGAGGTGTTGATGCTAGCCGTGTCGGAGAGGAGAGCGCTGGATGTGAGGGCACTTGTGAGCGATGTGACGGGTGTTTCGGCGTCGGTGGAGGTGGATGGATGCGGGATGCCGGTTAGGGCGGTCCAGATCTCGGCGACGGGGGGTTCAGGGTCGCTCCATGGGACGATGAAGAGGGGTTTGTCCCAGCGGCTGTGGGTGCTGGGTTCTTCGTAGCGGAAGATTAGGTTCTTGAGAAGGTCGGGAGGGTATGGTTCTTCGGTGTCTTCGGTAGTGGGAGAGGGGACATCGGTTTGCCTGGTGCGTTGCGCTTCGACTTGTAGGTCTGCTTCTGTCGGCGATGCTTCCTTCGACTCGTTGTCATGCGATTCAGACTTTTCCTGTTGTGCGTCCCGACGACGTATCCTGGCTTCGTTGTTCGCGATGCATTGATCGACTGGTGTCCCGACGTGTACCTTCAACATCCCAAATCAGCCTTCGCCGAAAGACCGGAGTTAAATTGTAAACTTACGACACAAGATGTCGTCCCCAGCGCCTTCGCCTCGCACCAAAGCTGATATCTATACCCCTTGATGTAATTCATCCCATCAAGAATCACGAAACTATCTCGGCCCAAGGCGCGCTTGGCCCGCGCATATGCGATTCCGCGAGCCTCCTTTTCCGTCCTCGCATGGTCATATACGGTCCTTGGATGCGAGGGATCATGCGCCGGGACAATGTGTATCTTGTATCGAGGTCTCGAGGCGGGGATAGCGCCGGATTTGAAGAGCTCATCTTGCGTCGCCTCGAGGAGCGAGGCGAGCTGTTGGGCGCGGTACGAGAGACCGGAGCAGGGATAGCCTGAGAGGACGATGAGCTGTCATTCATTTAGAATTAGCTTCGTTTGATAAGGATATTGGAAACCTAGAGCAGTAAGACTTACCGGCATTATGACAACAGTGGATGAGGGATGTGGCACAGTGTTTGGCGGAGACTTTTTCTTCGCGGGGCTGATGCGGGCGGCATGTGACTTGGAAGTCTGATGTCTCTGGCTGCTCGAATTGATGGACGTAGACCTAACAACTTATGTGGATATGATTACTTGAGAGCACGAGAGCATTCTAGACTCTATCGATCAATTTAAATGCAGATAAGATTGTTCGCATGCCACTAGGCCAATCATTCTACGGGTATGGGTTCATCAAGGTCATTAATCGCCAAGGTATATACACTTTTTAGTTTTCACACCCCCTGTCAATTCAGTTGATCGGGAGCCCACCGGATCTCATATCCGAATACCGTCCTACGAAGTAATTCATCCTGCAGCCTTGTCAGCAAACGCATTATGAGAGAGACGGTCGAACCTACACCAGGGTCGTTCTCAAACAAGACCTTATCCATGACCTTCTCGAAGATCTTGGTGACCTGAAACCCGCTCTGTTCTGCCAATGGAAAGAAAGTCTGGTTCCTGGGAAGAAGCCAGGGCTGGTAAGGTGTAAAGACCACCAACGCGACGGAGTCCTTGGATTTCTTCAGTGCCTTCTGCATGACCTTGATCAGATTGGGGTGCTCGCGATAACTGTACACCACGTCGGCCATGATCAGAAGGTCGAAACTGTTTGAGCCCTCGGGGAGATACGCCGTCAATGGTTCAACCGGATCACCCCATTTGTATCCATCAGCGTAAAGGGACGACGAGCTGGGAATGATGGGCGCTGAGAGCGAGGCATTGTATCGCATGTTCTCGACCAGGTCCGGATCAGGGTAATCGGTCATGACGACGGTACGAGCTCCTTTGACTGCGCTAACGATGCTCGGGACACCTGCCGCAGCTCCAATCTCCAAGACATCTTTCCCCTCGACAAGGGCGCTAGCTTTCTCTTCTATGTATGTGGCGCTCGTCCGGCCGGCGTTCCACAGCAGATCACCCTCCAAAGACGGTCAGTCGGCGAAAGCAGAAGATTGAGGTATCAACAATTGCAAAGCAGAGTATTGGGAGGTTCAGCGTGTTCGTACGTAGAGAGGATGGCTGCCGACAAGGCGCACGCGCACCGTCTGGCCGGTGAGCATCTGGTGCTCTGCGAAGGTGGGTTCTTTCTCAGGAGGGTAGAACCCTTCGGGGTCCTTGAAGATGTCCCCGAAGCCCACGAAATCTTCTTCATTTGCCATTGTGCAATGGAGTTTCGAGGGAAATGGATGAAATGAAGCAATGGCAAGAGGACATCACATGGCGCAGTCCAATCGCAACAATTTCGCTGTCACTGATAAATTCTCTATCGGTGATGGTGGGGTAACTTCCATAATTAGACTAGTGCAAGTCTTTGTCACATGAGATCACGTGAAACTGTATCCACAAAGCTGCCGAGGCTTCCTCGAATACGATACCGTACAGCAATTTCGCAGGGGTACCTGCATACGACGCTGAAAACCCCGCATACGGAGACGCGGAGATACGCGCCGGGAATAAATCGGGTAACTTTCGCTATTGTGTTTTTCTCCAGAGATTCTGGAAAGAAATTATCCTCCTCATCGACGGATGATCATAAATGGGTGACGATAGTCGCTGTGGATCCTGTGCATAGTTTAGTCCTCTTAATCAAGCATAGACTGCATCTACCAAGTCAGCGACTTGTTAGAGTTCATAAGTACATACTCTCTCTTCTCTTCGTCTTTACTGGCATCTCTGGGCCAGGTTCATACCAGCGTCATCACCGGTTCAAATACCTTTTTTTCCTCCAGTTTCCTATCGGACGTCATTCCGCAGTATATCTGGGTAAGCCCCCACGTGTTGCGACATTGACCGGCCGATGATTATTTTCTTCCTCTCTTCTTTCACTTCACAACACTTTCACCATCACCTCCACCATCACGTCATTTTATCAGTGCTAACCAATACAGCACTGCCGCACTAGCCAGTCTATTCTCAATCAGCCCATATCCTCAAGTCCAACACTGCACCCCGCTCCTCCGACCTTATTCATCCTTCGCCGGCAAAACTTGGACGACTTGATCTTCAAGTAACTCCATTCTGACCACCATCATGGACAACTCTACCCGCACTCTGCACTCCATAACCCGCAGCAGCACCCAAGGCTCCAACTCCTCCATACCATCCTCGTCAGTCACACTAGGCTACACGCCCTCAGCGATGGCAGCCCAACCGCAGAACCTCCTATCTTCAAGTACAAACCAGACGCAATTCGGAGCGAGCGAGCAACTACAACAACAAGCACAACAGAACCACAACCAGACCTCTTCTTCCACCGAGTCTGCGAACACGGCGCCCCCGCCCCAGCAGCTGATATCTACCCCACCAGGTCACCAGCTCGGGGGTCCGTTAGCAACAGCCCCTTTTCTACGAGACTTTAGTCTCGTCGCCGAAGCAGCGAAACGAGCGCAGATGTCTGTCGTGCTGCGGGATTTGGAGAGCGTCACTCTATAGAGCTCTGGGTCGGAGCGGTGATCGCTTTCCTTTCACAGCTATGGGTGCGGTGCAATTGGCTGATGGTGGTCTTGGACATCGGGCTCGGGCGTGCAGGACAGGGATTTCAAGTTGGGCTGATATTTTATTGGAGTTTACAGTTACCTACATCAAGGACTGCGGCGGGATGGGTTGGATTGGCGTTAGACTTGCACAGTTACACAGATATACCATTCACTTTGACTAAATCAATAAAGAACTCAATCCTTTTTTTAAGAACAAGAGGCCCTTCCGTCTCAACTTCTGCTTCGAGCCAGCGACCGATCTGCGGAGGACCAGTTGGAGTACCCCGTATCCCGTACTTCGTATAGACCGAGGCCTTCGGTTAAATTCACGGCTGAATGCGAATGCCAATGTAACCCAGCAGACTGCCCTCGACAACCTCATACTCATTAATACCTAAAATGATAAAATTCCAGCATAAAAACTCTTTTTTTCCACCAACGAAAAGGAAAGAAAACCACGCGCGAACCAATCTGCTCCGCCCGCCCTCCATACCAGGGAAAAATTGATAAAGAAGCCGAGCAGCGATTGGTGAGATTTCACCCTCTAGCATACTTGAGGCTTGCCTAGGGGCACCCGAGCAGCGCTTATCCTAATCGCTAGTAGCTACCTTAGTGGAAACTGATAACGGATTGAAACCCAGGTATTGTTTGGTGATTGGTGCGGTTTTTGAGTGGCTGAATTATCACATGCATCAAGCCATTATTTTGGGAGGGGGAGACCAAGGTGATTTATTAAGCTTGAGGGTATAAGTTAGCTATTGCTATAGCTATACTCTTACTACTAAGCTATATACATATATTTGATTTTGATGACAGAAGGGAAGATATGCAGCGCCAAAGACAGTCTATTATTGTTGAACACCAACACCAATACCAGCACCAAACGCCAAGCTATGCGAATAACGATGAATATATGCCTTGACCAAAGAGACTTTTATCGAAGACTGAAAGGGATTGGTTGAACGTTGCGAAAATGCAGGCTAGAATAGCCGTCGCGATTGAGGATACGGTCGCATCGAACGGAAATATATGGTTGAGGACGGAGACCGATGGAATGGTCTGAAAGCCGAGACCGAGTTACTACATGTTCGTCGACGACCCGATCAAGTTCGGCTGCGAGATGCTCGAGAGCTGCGCCGGCGAAGCCCTCTTCCTCCTCGACCCGAACCGGAAAGTCGACAGTCGGCGACTCAGCCCTCTTGTGGGCGGGGCCCAATTATCGAAGGAGAGGATGGAGAGGGGTCTCGAGCGCGGTGGGCCAGACGCCGTGATGGGACGCTGATCGGGATGTAGTGCTCCGTCTGCGTCTGCGCCTGACGGCCCAGCGGCCGTATCGAACATCAGCATTGACTGGCGTCGGCTCCGGATCTTGCTGGCCATGTTGTTTGGGTCCAATTGCAGGGAAAAGTCCTCCTTGATGTCGTCGAGGGCGTGCGAGAAGCGGCAGAGGAGGCGTGGTTTCTCGTAGATGGAGGGCTCGCGCTGTTCGAGGCCGTACAGCTGCAGCGGGGTGGAGTCGGGCGAGTCTGCTCGCAATGGGGTGGAATAGTAGCGGTGGATTTTGGGGATGTCTCTTCGCGTTCGGCGACACTGGGGACGGGGAGTGAGAAGACGGGGTTGTTGATGTTGTGGCTGGAGAGGGAGACGGGGCTGTCGGGGTACGATTCCCTCGAAGAATCTGTTGCGGAGGATGTTGACATTTTGCTTCTGAGATATGGCGGTGTTGATGATGTTGATGATGTTGATGAGGATGTTTATTATTGATGCTGCCCTTGAGTGTAGGACCGAAGATTGCGGATGAAGGGACCGCTCAGGAAACACCACACAGGCTTTCCTCGCCAGTTGCAGCTTCACTCGTGAGTTGCCTGGGACGTGTCCCAGTGGGAGAGACGTGGATGAACGAGCAGTAATAACTGGCCATCGGTCTCAGAGAGAAGAGAAGCTAAGTGGAAAGAGTGGAACTATGGAGTCACCAGTCTCTACGGTCCGTCTACGTCCGAAGTCGTACATGTTTGTTTTCAAGAGTCTGCAGACTCCAGCAGCATTGCCCGGGTTTGCGCAGTCGCACGACAGAGTACTGTACTCCAGCCATCCCCTCCTGCCCCCAGTCTTCTTTCTGATTCTTCCCCTCACAGCATACGTGGACTTGAAACAGCGTATACCCTTCGCATACTGGGTAAACACTCCGAAATAGAATATCTAACCCACAAACCGAGCCGATTCCGATAACAAACCCGCTTAGAGAGCCTGCTCGGACAACATTCAACGTGCCAGATGACGCGGCAGTTGAGGCCACTGCCAGAAATATCTCAAGCAGCGATTGGGCTTGCATCAGCAAATTGAAAGATCGAAACTCTTCATGGCTTGATCTCTGATTCTCAATTTTCAACCCATGTCTTAGGTACATGTACGTATGTGCACTCCTGCATCCATGGTCCGCAGCCATGGCTACGGGCTGTTCCACAGGTCTTCCGTACCTGTGGAGACTTTCTGTCGGCTGTAGTCGGCTCCGTGCAATCAAGGGATGGAATAATAACACGGTGAAAGTGCAGCTCCACCACCAAATATCCATGCGAAACATGTGCATATTAGAATGGAGTAGGTACAGAGCATGAATACTCGCCAGATATGAGCAGAATACTCGGTTTGCAACTCTGCATATGCATCAATGCCAAGTCCGATCATAAAAATAGAGATCAGCCACCGTGCAGGTGAAACATGGTGTCAGCCTGTCAGCCACTCCACTCCGCTATTGCTGCTAGCCCACGACATTACTTTTCTGCCAGTATTGATTGAATTTGAAATAAATATCACCGGGAGGTTGGATGCTACAACTCCTCGGTGGCAGTGGGCAAAAATATTATGGCTGTGGTGGATTTGTTTCCTTCAACTGTCAAGGTCATTTGAGCAACCGGTCAGAGACTCGAAGCCACCTTCAACTCCTGGTTTGGCTTAGTAAAGCTGAGCACCCAACCTTCAGTGACTGACCAGTCGGAATAGGTTGTAGGCAGTACTGTGCCACTAAGAATTTCAGAGTCAAATGGGTTCGCGCTACTTCGTATATGTACGAGATTCGTAATAAGTCCAAAATGTCATTGAAACCTCGCAGGGAATGCGATGGAGGTCAGAGTGGGACATAGGACATGGGCCATGAGCATTCTGTGCTTTGGCTCGGGTCTGCTAGTCACTTTCGTCTATGCTTGAAGAAAGGCATTCTAGGAATTCGAGTCCAATCTGACGATTTATTACATCTTTGTCACTTCGTTATGCTCCATATGCTGGGTATCTAAACAGACTGTCACCGGCTTTTCGATCGCACGGCATGAACCCACGATATAATTTGATAGCCTGTCTGAACGCTAGCCACATACAATAAAGTCGATGGAACCCCTGCTATCAAAAGGTCACAGTCATATCATCCATCAATCATAATTCATATCCCCGAGTATCATTCACATCACAAAAAGGAGGTTCACATCTGTTGCTACGTTAGTTCGCAAATCAATGTTGTACAAGTTGACCCACCTAGTGGATGGCTGCAGCTCAGCTGCGGCTTCTGTGTGTATTTCCCCTCGAGCTCTGCTCGAATCGAGTTCAGTAGCTGCAGATAGCTCTGATTCGGCCACTGTCTCAAGGACTTGATGAAAGCCCAGCTCAAAGCACCACGAGCTTCTCCGTCCTGGAATGTGTCCGCTCTAGGAAAAAGACCGTCAGCTCAGCAAAGACACGAGGCCAGTAAATAAATGACATCAAGAGCACTCACGACGTCTGTGTGTCCTTGGAACCAGAAAACATGACCACATCTGCCGGAGATGTCTTGGTCATCACCGTCCGCTGACGTGCGGAGTCGCCTTTTGCGGCCTTTTTGAGAAACCCAATCGCCGTCATCGCGACTCCGCTCAGATCCCCTTTCCCGTATGAGCTAATGGCGCTGAACAGGTCCTGTGCTGCTTCTTTGGCGAGGTTTGGTTCTTTCAAGATGCCCTGCAGAGGTTAGCATGGTGTTTGTCGAGCTTCAGAGGGTCTAAGCCAACCTGAGTCGAATAGACGTATGGCAAATCCAGAGCTGTTCCCGAATGACACGAGTCGAATATCACCGTCAACCGAACACCCGGACGCAACGGCCGAACCCTGCGTTGGTGAGTATTAAGCTATTAACCAGAGGAAAGAGGCTAACATTATGTTGTGCATTTCATCATCCACAATGTGGCCCGCAACCCGATAGTCGACAGGGTAGATGACGTCGTCATAGCCTTGATTCTGTTAGTTTCTCGCCCAACCTTAGACACCAGGCGACCAACCGTCCTCTTCGTCACCATCGAGATCAGGAGTTCGCCCGCCATGTCCTAAACCCATCAGTTATCGCCTCACAGATCGCAAACACACAACCACCCACCTGAGAAATGAAGGAAAAGCGAGTCGTTTGGCTGCGCATCTTTGACCAGCCACTGCATTGCACGCAGTATATTCGCCTTGGTAGGAATGCTCAGTGGATTCTTCTGGTCGTCGGTTAGAATAACCATGTCCTCCCGCCGATACCCGTACCGTTCATGGAGGAAAGTCGACATGTTAGTGACGTCGTTGATGCATCCGCGAAGCTGATTCGGCTGTCCGAAATAATTGATTCCGATCAGTAGGGCTCTGCGCCGCCCTGTGCATGCTGAGTACTGGAAGCGGTAGTGGGAAGGTGCTCCGTTGCCGAATTGCTGCGCCTCGAGGGGCGGGCGTGGAGGGAGCCTCGGCGCACTCCATGACTGCGTGTGACCTGCGTTGGGTTAGTTGTGTGCGTACTCACTCCGGTTTGACAAGCAGGGAAAATGGTAACTCACCATGATGAGGATGCTGGTACGGAGATGGCGAGTGGGGAGGCGGCGTGGGGTAGGGCGATGGGTAACTCCGATGGGCAGGAGGAGGAAATGTATGCGCTGGAGGAGGGCCTTGAGGCGGATACGGTGGATATCTGGAAATCGTCAATCACGAAGGCATCAATGCATATGGTGTCGCGAAAGGAAACCTACTGGTAAGGCTGAGGAGGAGGCCACTGCTGCTGCGGAGGGGGGTAGCCACCAGACCGACCCGGGGGTGGAGGAGCCGAGTGACGGTGGTACATCAATTGATTAATCTACTGTTGAGGGAACTCGCTGAGCGCCGACCGCAACGGATACAAAAAAATGGTTGAGGCCAGCAGTCGGATGACCCGAGGACAATTGACTAGTGAACTGGTATAGTCGTATGGGTGAGCTGAATCAACAACAACAAAACCCAGAGTTGCACCACAAGTCAGATCCGGAAACAGATTCCAATAAGGAGGGAAAGTTGAAGTTTAGATAAGAACTAACTAGCAGCTTGGACAAATCATGATACTTAAACCTGTGTGATTATTGAACAATGACCCCAGGCACTAAGGCCGTCAGGGCTGGCTGATAGTGGAGAAGGCTGCACAACAGTCCATCGCTGCCATTTGCTCGCAGATCTTGACAGTGCGGGACATGGCACGAGGCACTACACATAGGGCAGAGAGGTATGCATGGTTTGCCGTTTTGATTTCTTGACAATATGAACCTCTTAAGTTTATCATTAGGCCCTCTTTCTTATACGCTTGCATCAGGGTTATTGCGCAGTTGTGTTGTTTTGAATGGTAAGTGTTCGTCATCATCATCAACAACCACATCACCACGCTTCTCTACGAGGTTTTCCTCGAAACGTCAGAGCCTGAGTGGACCACTGTCAAGACTAACCTAGGGCACTTTTAACTCGGGCGTGACTGGCCCGCTCCGCCATACTTGATACAGACATCGGTGCAGATCGATCATGGACTGAAATCATCAAGTGCTCACTTGACATCCAGACCTGTTCAATGCTATCCCCGAACCCTTTACTTTTGGCCCACACATTTAGATTTTCAACTTACTCGGTATCCTCTATTACTCGGATTGTTCTGCTCATGTTGAATGCACAATCTCCCCGATAGGAAAGAGCGCCCTGACCGGCACCATCCATTCCGGGCAATGTTTCGGAACACTCGGTTCATTTAGGCATCTACATTCTTTAGCCGTTGGCTTCTAGACGATTCTAAGAACATAGTCGCAAATTATGAGCCGTTTTCTATACGGCAAATGCTGATTTGTTGAAATCTGATCTTAGGCCTTAGAAGGATTCTTGGTTTCCCCACAGAGCGGATTCGTTGACTCGTAGGGCTGAAAGAAATTCGGCAACGACGGCAAGAGATAGGGATATCAGATCTGTCCAGAGATCTTAACCCAAGTGAAATAGATGGGCGGCGATGTAGGCTATCATCTACTGTGGATGGGCATGCACCTGACATCGAAGAAACGATAAATCAGCTTATAGAGGCTGTAACACCCTTTGGTGCTGTATCCAGCTAAGAACTTGGCAAATGGTCCCGGATGGATGGCGTCTGTATACTCCCTGGAACTTTGAGGATAAATGGATATCTTCGATGCCGATACAGGACTCGCCTGCGGATCCTTGTTGTTGCTTGCTTTTACAGTCGTTGTTTGGCCACGATTGAGTTTGCAATTCTCTTTTGTCAAGATGAGCGATTGAAAGGTATTTGCATATCGTTCCAGACATTGGACCCCGACGACAACTTCCGCCAGGAAACCTGAAATGTAATTCTCTTATGATCTGCTTATGCAGTAAGCCAATAAAAGACCGACTTCTTTTCGAATTTCATCAAAAGAACAGTCAGGTAGATTGTTCTCTAGCTTGTAATTCCAAGTCAACGAAGGGGCCGGGTTCTCATGACCTATTTCGGCTCGAGCTTGCGTGTGAGCTCAAGTTTCGTGAAACTCTGAAGAGTTACATTATTCATTGTCTATTGTCCGGAGATAGTCTCCTTTGGTATTCCGTGCTCGTCAGAAACATTGCCAGCATTTCACGCGCAAGACAGACATGCAAGACGTCTTTCCTCTGCCATGCAATTTTGAAGCTTGAAAAAGATCGTCGAAATTGTGAGGACGTGAACTGTGTCGCACTGCCATGAAGACGGATTCCATCAAGTTGTCAAGCAAGAGGACACCATTGATTCGACCCATCGTGACCACGGGTGAGTGTCATGGAGGCCGCTATCGGCAACAAGGCTGTTGAGGTCCAGGTGGACCTGTCGCCGGGATGCGTGCATTGGTTTAATTATAGACGCTGATGATAGGGGACAAAGTGGCCAATAGTTTGACTGGCCGTGCGTTGCACCGGGGCGATAATCTGAGCATCGAACCCAGGCAACACTATTTGCTCAAAGTGGTCATCTTATCTGTTAGCGCTGACACATGATGCCCTGCTTACTGCTTACTGCACTGCTGACCAGTAAACTCCGTGGCACGTCCAATGCCACGGCCGGACTTCGAGGAGCTATCAAAGCTGTTCCTGATCCCCAAGTCCAGACACCCCGCATCGTGATCGACCGAGAGCACACAATCACATATTCTTGGCTCTGAGCATGATTTCGTCGGGGAGTTTTCTACTGGTGGGACTCGGAAGCGTAACAAGCCCCGGCCGGCCATCAGCAATCATGCATCATGCTTGGTCCCGTCCGTACCATGATATCGACAAGGGACATATGGGGAGAGCATTCCGATTGGATACAATTCGACTGTACCTCAGCCTTTCCAACCTCGAGACCTTGATTCCCCAGCCTCGTGCCCGCCTTGTCTGGCGTGCCTGTTTGATCATCGTTTCGGACCTTTGGAGGCGCGAGGCAGTGCAAAAGCGGGGGCCAGACCCTCAGGAACTCACGGACGGGACGACAAGGCTGGCGATTCGAGGCCTCGAAAGTCCCACACAAAGTGCTCGCTTCGATGGTTGACAAATGATGGAGAATTTGAGATATCAGACGTGTTTGATAGCACAGGATTTGGTAGATCCTGCATACTGTCCAGTTGGCGGGTCGGCTGCCTTAAAAACGAGGCCATGGTTGGGTTTTGGGCGCAGGCGGCGAGCTTTCAATGCTGGCCAGCCACCAAAAGGCACGACCAAGAGTTGAGTCCTTTGTGATGAACCATATTCTGGTCACGATAATCATCACGGGTCGGTAATCAAAGAGAAACCCGATTCAGAGTGGGTTAGTAGTCCAGACACTCGAAAGGTGGCTAGAAAGTTTGAGACCGAAACTCCCCCTCTTTAGGCAGCCAATAACTCCGGGGTCTACAAAATAAACGGAGTATTGAGGCTCGGCAAGTCGTGGCTCTTTAGTCGGTCACTTGACAAAAGGAAGATGAGCGAATTTGCTCGTTTCTTTTCCGGATTGGGTGAATATTGATCATGGATACGATGATGATGGAATCTTGGAATTTTCCACGAGACTAGCAGCTTCGGAAGTCCGTAGGTCAGTTCCTTCTCGAGTGTTCCCCTTGCATTGACACTAGCAGGTCTGGAAATTGCCACTTTGAGCCTCATCGCAATCCACAAAGGAGTAATTTTTGGCGGCGGCACTCCGGAATCGGTGAGGGACCGAGGTGGTCTTGGATAGGTCTCACTTGGTCTTCCGCATCATTTACTGGAGATAAGGAATCGACCATTAGAGAGCTGTCATTTGTAAATATTTTTAGCTCCCGTAAATGTGCTGCTGAGGTGACACAAATTGTAGCACGAACTCGGTGGAAACATTATCATGGCTTGGGACTTGTTTCAATGGAGAGCCCCCATTTTGGGGGTGGAATGCAAGGACAGAAAGCGATTGGAAAGCCTCGTCAATAACAACACTAGTTAGAAAATGCCACACAGGAATGGGCATTGGGAGTCTTGGCCCGATTCCTCCGTGGGAATTGCGGCTCTGCAGTGGCCACTACTGGACCATTGGATGCTGTTATGCTCACCCATGATGACCCGTCTGAAGATAACTGCGCGTGGCTTTGATCAGCATTCGTGCCGCCCAGACCCTCTTGTGGTGTTGTGGCTGACTGGCAAGGTGTGATCTTTTTTTTATTTTGCTTTCTGAGGCAAAGACAGCCTTTCTTTTTCTTTTCGAAAACAGTTAGACTGCTCTCCTGAGCTCCTTAGAAGCTAGCTCGACCCATGGGAATCCTGATGGAATCCATATTCAATAATCCACGCGTCATCCAGTGGGCCAATCCTACCCAAATGAACAAAGCTCTCCAAAGCTTATACCGAGCCTCAACCAGGAGGCTCAAATCACGGTCTTCATATATTCGACAAATCTCTCAGTGTGTGACATCCAAGATGGATGACTGTGTCTCCACCGTTGGAGATAGTCATTATCCTTTACTGTTCGCACCACCATCACTGTCATCACATCATCACCACGTATTTTAACTACAGCATCATTACCTTCCATCGCTTTGTTATTTGATATATTATCCATGCTCTGTTGGAGCTATCATCCCTTCCTCTCGCTTTGGACATGACCGACATGAGCAAGAACCTGGACTCCATCCCATATGATGTGTTCTACCAGATCGCCTCGGGGTTGGATTGCCACGACTTTATCCATCTCAGTCGAGTCAACCAGGCTCTCAACACGTTGATGCGAAATGAGTCCATTGCGAGAAAGACAATCGAGGTGTGTATTTTCTCGCAAGTGCAGAACAAGGCAGCATTTTAACATGGTTTAGAACCACCTGCTTCATTCCAACGAGGGGCGGGAAGCGGACAGAACTAGAACTGGGTATCGTAGAGCAGTTGGCCGTCTGTTTGACATCAAGGAAGCTTTCGCCACAGCTCAGCCGTATTCAGCCTCGGTTCTTGCATACGGGTCGGCCTTTTTGTATAACCAAGGCTCCCTCTGCTACATCTACGACAACAAGATTCGTGCCTTGGATGTGCATGGGGTCGGTCAAGTAGAGCAGGTTTTGAACGTTCACAATGTTCTCTCTCGCGCGATCCCAGGCTGCGATCCAGCGCGACATACGATCCAGATATCGCTCCTGCACTACCGTGACGGGATTCTGGCATTTCTGGTCGAGATTGGAGAGGTGCGGGAGGCTTGGCTTCTTGCGGTAGATATGCGCAGGAAGACAGACTGCAGGACCGGCCGATTACGTCTCCGCACGCCGCTTCAGTCCACACGACGACTTTTCGTCCGACATAGCAGGTCCTACCTTTACTACGGTACCCAGTCTGCACTGAGTCATTATGGCTATCCGCAGTGGGCGGTCCATTGCGTGGATTTAGCTACTGGACAACACATAACTGAGAAACCTGTCGAGCTGCACAATTTTGTTGGCAATGAAATCGGTCAGACTGTCTGCTTTGAGGTGCATCAGGACCATCTGTATGCCGTGTCGACCCTGGTAGACTTTGAAGAAGAAGAAGTCGACTGGACCTCCTTGTACATGTGGATCTGTCTGCCCCCTCGCGGGAATACGGGCTCGGTGACGCCCAGGACCGAGTGGCGTCGACAGCATCGCGAAGGCCCAATCAATGACACATGGTCGGACCTTTCACTTCGAGAGGATGAAGCGACCAACCAGCTCCTTATCCTGGAATGTCGCCGCGAATGGCGCAACGGAGGCAGCGATAATTGCCGGACTTACTACATGCAGCCTCTCCCGTCGCCTGCAGAGATCTCTCGGAGTAAGCGACCGGCCAACCACCCACCATGCAGCTCGATAGCTGCTGAGTTGCCAGACGAGCCCTTAACCAAGACACTAGATTCGTCGAACAAGGCAATCTACGAGAGACCCCGGAAAAGGCTGCGCAGACACTACCACCCGGAATATCCATTGGACGATCAAGACAACCACGACGGCGACACCCCATACCAACGGCGCGACTTCATCCTGGCCAAAACTAAGTTCCGCACTTACAACCTTTCGGCCTCGACATTCGTCGACCTCGTCAATGACCCCTACCCAGCATCACCAGGAGGCAGCCACATCCCCCACGATCGCCTCCGCCTTCGGACAGTCTCCCGCAAACGCAAGAGCCCTATCGACGAGGCAAGTAACACCCTCCACAAACCAGAATTCACCGACGACGACGGCAACCCCATCGAACAGAGCGAGGAGCGGTTCACCTCCCGCGGAATCCACATATGGCCGCCCGACAACGGCCCCCGGAACTAACCCAGCTGCTCTGCCCGTCCCACCGCATCGGCAAAATCCAAGCGGTCGCAGACGAGCGCTCGATTATTTACTCCATTGACCAGGAAGGACTGAGCGGCGGTAACCAAGCCATCATACTCATCAACTTTGATCCTGTCATCAGACATCCAGGCCTGAAACGTCTTACTCCGGACTCGGACGTCCGGCCTTGGGGGCCCAACGGTGATCACGCAACCGGAATCAGGCCTCCACGCCAGCAGGAGCGGACAATGCTACAGACACCCGTCAGCACAGCGAGGACGAACCAGGCGGTGCCATCTGTCCGGGAGGAGCCGGCTATGTATCTAAGCATTAATCATGGATATTGGCTTCGGTGACCGATCCGTCCTCTCTAGTCGCAGTTGTCTGTAATCAATCAAATAAACAAAGCTATCTGATCAGTCGTAAGCCCCCAACTGGTTGGTCATGTCGTATTCGCACTAGTCACTGTGCAACTAAGACCTGTAATTGAAGGAATACGAGGCGTACCCACTTAACCTTTTTCTCTCGTATGTGCAAAAGCACGGGATTCAATCATTTTAACTTCGAGACTGGTACTGAGTCATTCGTCTGCATATTGAGCAAGAGCTAAGCCGATCTGGACATTGCACTTCTTGTAGTAGGTGGCCTGACAAGGCAGCTAGGGCGGAGCTCGCACGACTGATTATTTGTCTTGGTGCAGTCGGCAATTACTCCGTACTTCATTCCTTCTGTCTAGCCTCTCTACCGGCATCAATGGATATCTACATAAGTACCCTGAATTATACATTATTACATAACCTGTCGTTTTGCTGACCCCAATATCCAGTCTATTTTGCATCCCTGTTGCTGTCCAACTCCGATACCAGCTCTGTTTGCCTAGTCGCCAGCTCCGCCGGATGAGGTTGATATACAACGTGCGGGGGATATTGATGCTGATATTGACCTGTCGCCTGCGCTCCGGTCGCCGGCATACTCTCCAGACGGGCATACTTACATTGCCGACGCTCCCACAGAGCCCAGGCGATTGATGCCAGAGTAATGACACCCAATGGCACACCAACCCCTACTCCGATGGCAACGTCGTGGGACGAGGGTGAGGAGCTATTCCCTGTTGGTGTTGGACAGGTGTTATTGGTCATCGACGAAGCGTTCACGTAACCGGCGAGAGCTGCTACACCCGGTATCACTGCCCCGGTTTCGATAGTGAAGGGATCACCGTCCTGTCATTTATTGTCCACCACGGATCCGCAGCAATATTTGGGGTTTGTTGTGTCGTAGCCCATGTTGACGATCGGGTAGCCGCTTTTTCGATTGAAGTCCGCTAGATGGCGTGGTCAGCTTGATGTACCCACAAGTGGCTTCAAAATGTCGAGCAATAGGGAATTAACGTACAGCATGGAGCATAACACGCTGGTCCCCAGTTTATATCCGTACAGCTTCCACGCGAGAGGGTATTTGGATGAGAGCCCTGCAAATAGCACAAGCCATCTGATAGGCAGATATCTTGCTTGTTGCAGCAGTTTGAGGTTCCATTTGCTCGACAAGGCACATCATCCGGTGCTTCGCTTCTGTCGAGATTATAGCAAGTCGCGCTGGCTGGGTTGACTCGTGCGCAGAGTAGCATTAGGCACAGAGGTAATGTACCCGTGAGTGTGAGTCTCATCGTGCCGGTCGACTTGTTTGAGTCTGAGGTCGAACGGGAGAGTCGGTCAAAACTCAATTGCGAAACACGACGCAAATATAGCCATAGACAAGTCCTGCTTCCAGGACTGCCTTGACGCAAACTTGCGAAAAATTATCAAGGGCCTGGTGGGCGGATTCGGTCGACAGGACGTATCTCGGAGCTAGGTGAAGCTTCGACCACCACCTTCGCCAGCGTATCTTGCCCTTGTTGATGCAGAAGATTATCGACAAGAGAAGGCGAACCAGTGCGCCGCCTGGGCTGACGAGGCAAAGCACGTTGAGGTGTCACAGCCCACAATAAAAGGAGCCAACAATCAGCACCAAGCCCGTGCAAATCCCGCGACTTCAGATTCGGTGATTGTGCTTGAATATCAGTTCGGCAGTTCGGCATTGACTCAGCCACTCTACAATCCCTGTGTCGGTCAACTGATTGGGGCAATCTGTATTGGCCCCCAAATTGCCCAAACCGGTCTACAGTCTGTGCACTCTGCACACCTGGCAGACTGCAAAGGCTGGTGACAATGTCGCATTACTGAGAGGCAGCAATTGTGCTCCGAGTCAGGAATCGAGTTTGTGTTGTTAAGTGCTGGTACTTGAGATGACATAATCGAAGCTCGAAGTCGAGTAAACGCAAGAGATCAGCCCCTGAAAGATAGCAAAGTCACACAGGACTGCAGATATTGACATGTCAGATCATCGCAGCCAGAAGTCGCCCCCGACTGGAAGGCCGGCAGTCAGGATGTTATTGTGGACCAAGTGTCCAAGGGGAGAAAGAGTGAAAAGATCAACGGTGATCAGCTGCCAGAAACAGAATTGTATTAGTGCCTCAGGCAACACAATTTTATCACCACTATCATGGTCTAGAGTCTAGATAAAGAGCATGCCAGCAAGCTATTTCGCAAGATTACCAGATTACTTTCGGATGGATCTACTGTTACTCTGGAAAATCGAAATTCAAGAATTTATTGGAGCTCATTCAACTAGACGATAGGAATAAACCACATCCGACAAGGTCAAGATGATGCCTGGTTCTAGTCCAAGACTGTCTCTGGCTTCCTCCGTCTGTCATCGACAACTAGAAGCCTCCTCCAACGACATGGATTAATGCTCAATCTAGAGCTTGCAACTGTGCGTCTTCCTGCGGCGGCAACAGAACCCAGTCAGCTTCCTATACGCTACAACCAATCTCAAATCGTACTTACCACTAAGCTCTTCCCAGTTCAAGCATCCTGCACATAGCAAGTGGCATCCTCATCATAGCAAGGCAAACCGCGGCCCCAGGACCTAGTATCCGCTTGCAGTCGCAACATCAGGCTGCTGCGTCTACCCTCCTCATCAGCAAGCAACGTACATCGTCCACCAAAAAGCAAGGCAACAAACCGCATACGGAACCGCAATAGCAGTAATATGCACCTGGGCAGATCCACTCACAGGCTCACACATCATGCGGACGGAGTCAACAAACGAGATGATCGGGCCGACGGGGAATTCTGGGCCGCAGATCTGTCACAGTAAGCTTAGCTTCCATTTATCGTGACGGGAAGCATGTAGCTTTAAGCAGCGAACTTACCACCAACTGCATAACATACTCATCCGCATTCTCCAACCCATCAATGTCAAGCGGAACCATCCCGTACGGCGTTATCTTGCATTCGATACAGGCGGATAGAACACGGGTCGTGGAATCGAGGAGATGGAGGCGCTCGCAGTGGGAGTTTATCTCGACCCAGAGCTGGCGGAGTTCGCCGTAGAACTTTATTTTGCGGTTGGCTGTTAGTTTTGTCTATCTGAACATTTGGGATGAGACGAGAGCTTACGTTGATGGTGACGGAGGAGGTAGTAGTAGCCATTCTCTCTCTTGAGGGTTGCTGAAGGCACGTGATGTGTGCCTGTGGTGTTGGATGGAGAGGGATGACGTAGATGGGGGTGAGAGGGGTAGGAGATGAGCGAAAGTAGAGTGAATCTTGCATTGTTTACTAGGGGTGGATATGACATGGGGTAGTGAATGTTGTTCTAAAAGCACCTGGCTTTACAGGAGTGTTCTGTTGCGGAACCTGCTGTAACTGCTGGCCTTTGTTGTCAGTGTTTATGAAGATGAGAGTCACGCTTTGGTTTATGTCCATAGCCAGGTTCTATGTTTTATCTGAGAAGGGAACTCTTGTCAGGTTGGACCTCAAGGCAGGACGATCAAGTAAATCAATTAAGCCAGATCTGTGGCTTGCTTAGCGTTGACAGCTAATCAGTGCTTGTATATGGCACTGGGCATATTCAACTTCACTAGCGTAGGTTCCTTACTGACTAAAGGACGTGGAACAGTTGCCGACAAAATTAGATTGATATTACTGTTAGACAGAACCAACAAAGACGCCCACGAGGACTACCTAAGATTAACCAAGTTAACCCAACACGGAACCGGATACCCCAGCCCGAAGGTAGTCAGCTCATATTCCAAATTATTACCCGTGTCCCATTGTAACCATTAAAAAAAGGAAAGCTTTCCACCAAGTCTCAGAATAAAGGTACTGTCTAGACGGTCTCCATCTGCCTCTCCGCGGTCTCGGTAGTAGCAGCAATAGGTCCATCTTTCTCGCCGTGAGCAGTTACCTTGAGCTTGCCCTCGGCAATCTCCTGTTCGAGCTCCTCCAATCTGCTGCGCTTGTTGAGCTTACGCCAGGCGGGAAGGCCACTGTCGAAGACTTCGTCCATTTCCTCGAGAGTGTAACCCTTGGTCTCCGGGGCCGTGAGGAACATGTGGATGAAGGCGGCGGTGTTGAAGGCGGCAAACTGTAAAATTTGTTAGTTAACTTTTCTATGGTCGTAAGTTTTTCCATGCAAGTACGTACGATCATGTACATCTTCCAGTTGATCGCCCACAGCAGAGGCGGGACGAACAGGGCAAGAAGACAGTTCCAGATCCAGTTCGACGCGGTAGCGAGAGAGACGGCCTTGGCGCGAACCTTGGCCGGGTAGATTTCTGCAGGGTAGGTCCACGAAGTAGGACCAATGGTTGTCGCGAACGAGCAGACGAAGAGGTAGGAGAGCGCAATGATCGCTTTACCGACGTTGGGATGGTCGGACACAACCCAAGAAATGGCATCGAGCTTGGGGTCGTCATGCGGGTTAGGCTTGCCAAATCCAGCCTGTAGACCTCCTTCAATGTACAGGAAGACGGCCTGCAAGGCAAAACCGATCAGGATGGCAGGACGACGACCGAATCTGTCCAGGTAGATGATGGCGGGCAGGGTCAAGGCAGTGTTCAGGATGTACTGAATGGAAGCGGTGAGGAGAGGGCTTCCAGTTCCCGTACTCTGCATGATATACACAATGTAGTACATCATGACGTTCATACCTATAGCATCAGCCATTAGCCTTTGCCTCATGTAAAAGGTTACGATCGACTCACCGCACAACTGAGACCACATCTGCAGACTCATACCAAGGAGCACACGCTTGGCAATGCGAGGCTTGATCAGTTCCTGGTAGCTAGTAGACGCCTGCTCACGCTCCAGAGCCAAAGCCTCCTCGATTTCCTGATATTGAGCCAAAACCTTGGGATGGTTGCGGTCTCCGTTTCCGTGAAGGTTGGCAAGCACCTCCATAGCTTCATCCCAGCGGTCTTTGCTTGCAAGCCAACGGGGCGACTTGGGGTAAAAGAACAGGCCGACGAAGAGGATAAAACCAGGCACCATCTGGATACCCCAGGGAATGCGGAAGGCAGCCGTACTCTGAGTCGGGTTATCGGCACCTCCGTCGATGTTGCTAGCACCATATTGCTGTCAATTGTCAGAACCTGTCTCCGTCTGGAATAAAGGAGCTGCTACTCACAATAAAGAACTGAATCAAGATACCCCAGGTGATGGCCCACTGCTGGAGGGAAATAACTCGACCACGAATTTCCTTTGGAGCGATCTCTGCCTGATAGACAGGAACCATAGCCGAGGCGATACCGACACAAAGACCAGCGATGACACGACCGACGACGAGGAGAGCAATACCATTGGAGGCAGTCATAAAGCTGGAGGAATTAGTTGGCACGATAGATGCAGATAAGCAAAAGACTTACATGGAGCCAATAGTCCACAGGATAGTCGAGAACTGGATTGCGGTTACACGAGAGTAGCGATCCGCAATGAAACTCGAGCACAGAGCACCAATGAGCGAACCAAAGGGCATAGCACAGGTGATACCACCCTAGTACTAGTTTAGAAGAGGGGACACGAGATAGAGGGCTAATTGGAACATGCCTGCTTATACTGGCCGCTGCCCACGCGGAAGTAGTTCACATACGCCTGAGTTCCCAGGACACCTGCAATCGTCAGAAACTCATCGAATGAAGAATCAAGAACTATACGCACCGCTCATACTACTGATATCAAACCCAAAGAGACCACCCCCTTTTTTGTTGGTTGGAAGAGTTAGCGAGGCGTTCGGCGATTCTGGTTAGAGACATCCTCACCCAAGGTGATGAAGCTACAGAGAAAGTAGACATTGTAGAACTTCTTCATTTTTGCAGTCAGCTGTCAAAAGCAGCTTTGTACGAAACAGGCAGCCACTGCGAAAGGAAAAAGAAGAAACTTGGGAAGAGAGAAAAGAGGCCAAAGAGAGAAGAAGTATCCAAGTTGCGAGTACCCCACAGGGGTTAAATACTCTCTGCCCTGCTCTCGCAAGCGTCAACAACCAAACCGGACATAGCTCCAGAAGATAATCCGAGAGAAACAAACGGGCCATTTAGCGGCATGGCCCGTTTGTTTCTGTTTCTGATGGACTAGTTTAGTGAATACCACAGTCCCAAAGTCGCCTGATTCATTAACCCCGGGGTGAATGCCATCAACGATTGGACCACATCCCAACGCGGACAGCAACATCCCACCTCAGTACTACCTAACACCCAAAACGATGTATTTAGGAGCAGACCAACGAGCGCAAGGTTCTGGTCTAGTACAACTCTGGGCAAACGCCACCAACATCATGTGGACTGGAGCATGATATTACAGGGTTGTGCCGTGCGGATAGGCTGATACTGGATCATGGGGGCCGTCCCCTCAAACGCCTCCCCCGCAATCCAGCAAAGTTTACGTGTCGGATTTAAGGCTTGACTGGTCTGGACGAGGAGCTTAGGACTCTTGAGGGAGAGATGTCAGCATCGAGGTAATGAATAATATGACCTATCCACGTGGCGTGGTGAGCTGACTTCCAAGTTGCAACCCCGTTGTTATGTTACCCCAGATAAAAGGAGCACAAGGGTAGACAGCCTCCTTAGCTCCACAGGTCAGCCATTTTCCTACTTTATCGGAAATTAAGTCCAGCCTGTGGAGTATGGACCCTTCTATTAGCTCAAGGTATAGGAGAAGAAAGCTCTGACCGGTACGGGAAAATGCACACCGAGAAGCAACACGCGTCTTAACCCTCCCAATCAATCTATCTGTCCTTGGCGATTGGCACCAAAAGGCCCCTCACTAAGTGTATAAACAGACTTCAACCACGGGCTGCCTTGGTTCTGACCAATTACTCTAAGAAGCCAAGAATACGGGCTAGACGTTCGGGTCATTGGTCGACAAGAGAACAAAGAGTGCAACCCTCGAGAAATGGCGTTGTGATAGGTGGAAGTTGCAGGTAGACCCGTGGAAGAAACAAGGCCCGATGTCACGGTCTCATCTTCACATGGTTTTTGCTTCCAGAGGGGGCGTTTCGTGCATTGAATTATTGAATAATGCAAGCATTAATATTGTGTTTGTTCATGTATATACAAAAGACTGCTCTTCATCTATACACAAGAAATAAAAGAGACAATAGGAAAAAGAGGAACTCCAAACGCCGCTCATGTCAATATCCACGATTTCATCAAGCATGTCGTGATTCGTTTACAAGAATCCTTTCAGCACATCAACCAATAATAACTTGTCGTCGGGACGATCCAGGAATTCGGCCATCGATCGACTAGTCAATTTGCTGCTCAGACTTCCGCCCAGACTGCTCAGGTTCAGATGCTGCAGTTCGGACAGCACACTGCTCGTGCTTTCCGACGACGATGAGTCCGTGATATTCATCTGGTCGAGGATGTTTGTCCCGTTCTTGTTGAAAATCCCCCGGAGGGTGTTGACCAGCAGTCCGCCGATAGGAATCTTCGCGCTAAGGGTCAGGTCCTTCATCACATTCGTATAATATGGCACCTCCACGCCGTCATAAACGACCGATTTGGCAACGGTGTTGAGAGTCAGATATCCGTTGCGGAGGGAGTCTTTCTGGCTCTGCAGGACCGGTCCAAGGTTCTTCAACACAGTTTTGAGATCGAGCCTGCCGCGGACGGGATTGGAATGGTTGCCTGGTCTAAGAACGAGATTATCGATCGTTGCGTTGCCGATGACGAGATCTCCGCTTTTGAGGTCCAACACAGTTGTGCCCTATCGACTGTTAGTGATACTCGACGGCGGATTATGCTGCTGACTCACGATTTCCAATGTCATGACTGAGGGATTGGGCAAAGTGGCGTTGGCGATCAGGTTGGTGCCGTCTGGTTCAGCGGGCAGAAGCAATTGCGACCCCTCGATGGAAAATCCAGCGAAGCCGTTTAGGGCTGAGAAGGTCAGCCAGTGATTTTCGTTACCAATAAAGGTGTTCGCTTACTGTTTTGCTTGATCGTCTTGTCCATCGTCACGCGAGATTTAAGTTTGCCTAGGTACGACATGGTAGTCCCCTTCAACGACAAGGGTGCATGTTCCTCAAACACCACATTGTGCACATATTTGGCCCACTGCTCCGTATTAAGTGGACTGAACTGATTAGTGACTCCCAAAGTGGTGTTGCCCGAGATAGTTGTCCCGTTGAGGTACAATTTGGCCCAGGTGCTGTTCCCAGGCTCGTCCCGGTTGAAGAGGTCCAAAGTGATGGGATCGATACGAACGGGAAGTCCAATGGGCAATTTGAGGGCAGATTGCATAGTGAGGATTACCGAGTCTGGACGAGGTTGCATGACACTTGCATCGACGAGAACAAGGTTGGAATTGTTGACAACCCGCTGAGAAACAGAGGGAAGGATCACCAGGAAGCTATTCTACTGTCAGCAAGGTCACAGATGTCGTGAACAAGGGCGGAAAGACGAACAAGACCGGGAGGATGATGGCGAGGAAAATGATCGAGAAGAAGATATAGCAACACCAGAACCGTGCCCAATGGCGACGGATGGCCTCTTTCTTCGTTCTCTGTTTCTTCTCCAGCGACAATGCCGTCTCGACATGTTCCATCTCCCCACCGTCCCCATTGGCCGGGGGTAAAGGCCCTCGATGGATACCGAGCGCATACTTGGCCCCTTTGGCACTGAGATAGGAGGGCTTTTCTTCCATCTCGGCCATGGTGACAGTGATCCGGGTAGCAAGAGTCTAAAGATAGACCAGTCTCGAAATCCGGGGTAGCTGGTAGCAATGGATATATGAAGAAGACGTGATGGGGGTGAATCCGAGATCTTCGCCCCCGTTAACCTCAATCCGCACGAGAGTCATAGCTGATTGCGGGCCACACCGTCACACGATAATTTCATTTTCTTCAATTCCTATCTCCGAGCCAAATTCAAATTTCCATCATTTTCTGCGCCGTTTCACTTAGCTCTGGGCCCAAGTGCTCGCAATTCTTGCTTTGTTGTATTGAGCTTTGGCCATTTCTGTAGAGAGTTAAGCCCCTTTAGGGGGTTCCCTCCGCATGATCGGCACTGCGAACTTCGGCGATCTTCCCCTGCAGCCAATCCCGGCGATTGATTACCAGTTCACATGCGGCCATTGGGATAACGATCATCGCATACTATTAAACAACCGCGGTTGCTAGCTCATTGCCGATAAAATCTAGTCAGATGGAGGGTGGGGAATAGTACGAAAGTGGCTTCATTGTCGGGTTGTTTCGACTCAAGCTTTGCCCGCAAGTGCCACAGACGCTGGACAAGCCCGAAAGTTGGGGAATGGAAACTCTCTCCCCGGTTAGGGGGGGAATATGCGGGGTTGAGAATATGACGAAAATTGTCGGATGTGAAGCATGGGCAACTGCAGCGTCTGCATGTGGTCTGATCATCTCATCATTGAGCTGAGACGAAAGTGATGAAAATCGTCTGGAAGCGTTGAAGATCGTTTGGGGCCTCCGTTGTCTCCTAATTCCACAGTGAAATCTCCCAATCCTGCAGCAAGTCTATCACTCAATACCGGGACGAAGACGGCGAAAGCCTGGCATACGATTACTCTCTTCAACAATTATTCTGTAAGGATAACGGCATCGCGTCAAAATGTCCCTCGACGAAACACTCCCAGAAAAAAAGACACAAACACCCACCACCAACAGCATCAAGTCAGAAACCTATCCTCTCGATGCGCTGGATGACCTCGAAATCCTCCCCCAGATCCTGCAAGAGGGTATCCTCTTCGCTGGATCAGGGACAGCGCTCCTACTACAAGCAACCACGCCCGAGATTCGCAACGATCACGACAAAGCCTGCAACGGCCCCAATCTAGCCACTGAGCTAGGCGATGCCTTGCAAGCAATGCTGAGCTTCTTCTCCTGTCTGGTCTTTGGCACACGGCAGGAGAAGAAGACCTTGCTCGAGATGCTTGGTCGAGGACAGCCTCCTCTCCGCGGCAGCGAGCATTACTACGCTGCCACGCCCGACGTCCAGCTCTGGATCGCGGCGACGCTCTACGCCACGGCAACAGATTTCTACCAGCGCATCTACGGCCGGGTAGATTACCGGACGGCCGAAAAGGCGTACGCGGAGTTTGGTCTTCTAATCCACATGTTGGGCCTGCCTTCGGGTGTCTGGCCCGAGACGCGCCAGAAGTTCTGGAAGTACTGGGACGACCGCATCGAGCGGTTGACGGTCACGCCGGACGCGAACAAGTTCGCCAAAGATCTGCTGCATGACAAGGCTGTGCCGCGGTGGGTGCAGATGCTGAAGCCGTTTCTGCGGGTGATGACGATCGAGATGCTGCCGCCGAGGCTGCGAGAGGAGTATGGGCTCAAGTCTACGATGGGGACGCGGGGGCTGTACCGAAGCACGATGGGGTTTTCGAATGCGGTCTATCCTGCGCTGCCGGTGTCGGTGCGGTCTTATCCGTTGCGGTACTATCTGAATGAGTTGAGGAAACATTTGAATGTTGTTTAGTCGTCATTCTGTATACTCCATGGATCTACTTCATAACTTTTATGCTCTGCACAGCTTTCGGGTAAGAGAAATATTGATGCAATTGCATCGTCCCGTTTTATAATAATCAATCAAGGATCACTGTATATACATAACTACCCATGGATTCATCACTCATATATACCCATGTCCATACCACCTACGTCAACGAAGCCAACAACCCACCCAACAACTTCTCCACAGCCGAAACCAGCTAGAAACGTCAGCATCAACGTCAAAGGTCAAAAAAAAGAAACATACCGGCGTCGCATCCCCAATCAACGTCGACGTCTCGTTCACAAAGTTCGGCGTCAACAGCGAGTGCGCATTATCAATCACATCCTGGAGCTTGTTGACGTTATCGCCTGAAAGCAACTTGGCGATGTTGGCCGCGTTGTCGCCGCCCAGGAGCACCGCACCGCCTTTGACGATGGTTTGCAGGTCGTTGAGGGTGTCCTCGCTTAGGAGCTCTTTGACGCCGTTGAGGATGGTGGGGAGTTCGGAGAGGAGGCCGCCGCCGGTGGATTGGGGGCTGGTGCGGCTACTGGGTTGGGGTTTGGGTTGGCGAGGGCGAGGGGAGGAGAGGGAGGAGGAGGGTTGAGAGACGCATATTGTTATGTTGTTGTTGTTGTTTGATGAAAGGAAGATGTCTCTGAAGATGGTAGATACTCTTGAGCAGAGGTAAGTATATGTATTGCTATCTATTGTTAATTAACTATCTCGGATACGAGGCCTCAGTTGCAAGAAAACAAGCATCATGATTACCCCGCTATCTACTGTCCAGCTCCATCGCCATCAGCTTCATCAAGTACGATGGGTCTATCTAGTCCCTGGAGTCCTGAGGTAAATCCCCGATTTGACATGTCTTGGTCCCAGCCCGAGCCTAGCCCTGCATCCGTGGATCTGGACAATTACCTCCGAGGCTGTAGACTTCACTCAGCCTTCACTTCGTGTTATCAAGCCAACCTAGAAGTGAACAGATAAAGATGACCAATTTCTCGACATTCATGTGATGCGAATGCGCAGTGTTCAGTCCCCCGCTTCTCCAGCGTACAAGTCCACTCCACTCCCCACAGTGGCCCCTGTGCCGCAATGCATTCCCTTTTGGGTTGCTTGACACTGGTCCCTGACTGATGTGGAGATAAAATCCCAGGTATCGTCTCAAATATACGCGGCTTTTATTGAGATATGCCTCTCAGGTAGATTAATGATCTAGGGACTATGAGCCACATACGTAGATGCGTCATTCTTATTCATCCCCTGTCTGGTCTGGTTTACTCATACAGTTGGATTCGCAGTCTACATTATTATCAGGTAAGCTCAAAGTGGATTCGAGTCTTCGACCATGGTGAGCTACTGAGCTAGAACGACGTGACGGTGGATCGTTGACAATCTGAGTGGAGAGCCATTCAGGACCTCGGGATCGGAGACTCATGTGAACCTGTCTACCTCGCTATTCTTTCCATAATTTGGCATGGTCTCATTGTCATCCGTATTCTATCTGCACAGGTTAAACAATTGTCTCACTCATTGCTCCACATCTATCATCATGCTTGATTCAGCTGTCTACCTTGTCGTAGCCAGTATATCTTGTCAAGAGCGCATGAATTCTCCGCATCTCCACTAAAGCTTAACCGAAGAGCTATCCGCGGACATCATTACTCAATAGACAGACATCTAGTTCATTCAAAGCCTAGCCTAGTTCAAGTCATCACATCATCCATAGTCCGTACTTTCGTATCATTGCCACTCGTTCCTTGATTTTTCAGACACACAGCAATGTGGCCCGCTCATCACATTCACACATTCACATTCAGTCGGTCGTCCCTCACAGCACCAACGCCAGCCCCAAAACACCCATGCCCACTCCCCCGCCATCAACACCCCCGTCGGTCTCGCCGCAGCAGCCATTCCCTTTGACGTAGACGTCGCACCCCCCGCAGACGCACCCGTCTCCGTCGCTGTCCTCGTAGCCGACGCAGTAGCCGACGCAGTAGCCGCAGTCTGATACGCCAGGCCCGTGGTAGCCGTCAACGCCCCCTCGGAGATCTGGCTCTTCACCACGGACAGGTAACTCTGGACATCGCTGGGGAGACTCGCATACCAGGCTGGTGTGCTCCCGGCCTTGAACTGGCTGGCGAGGGCGCTGCGCTGGGACGGGATGACGAGTTCCATTAGTACCGACGGGGGCAGTGCGGTGATGACCTCTGGGATGAGGGAGCGAGGGGGTGGTGAGATGTTGTCCAGGTTGGCGGTTTTGGTGGGCAGGGTGAAGTTGAAGTTTAGGGATTGTCTGCTGGTTGTTAGTGTTGTAGGCGCCCCAAAAAGTGAGGAGGGCTAGACTCACAAGGCATTTCCGAGGGAGGACCAGTTGGCTAGGTCGCTGGATAGGGCTTGGGAGTCGCTCTGGGGAGCTGCGAGAGCGGCGGTGAGGAGGAGGGAGAACCAGGCTGTGATTTTCATTTTGGAATATATATTTGAATTTGAGGGAGGAAGAGATGTGCCAGAATAGATGTTGGAAAAATGAAAAATGAAAGGTAAGGCGATATATAAGACACTCTGCATTCAAGCTAGTATGGGAGCAGCCTTCCGATACGAGATCCGACAGGTGGAGACGGACAACTGCTGTAGTGCTTGTCAAGGCTTGTGACGATGATCGGTGACTTCATCTTGTTGCTAAAGACTATGACAGGCTAGCCAAGCATTTCCTGCTTTGTTCACTACTCAGTCCTTGGTCGTTGCAGTGAATCTGTTGCTTGCGCGTAAAGCCAGTCAATAAAGAATGATTCCCCCATTGTATCTAGTGAATGATTACTACCCCTCCCTGGATAGTATATTAACTGCTCTGCTTCCTTATTTCTGCTCGCTTCTGACACTCAGTATACTCCTCAACTTACATGAAACCACTATATATCTTCAACTTGTCTCTACGATGATTTGGTCTTCTATACAAAAAACAAATTAGCCAAGCTGAGCCCAGACGGCAGAAGACAGACCGGTATACCCATCTCAATGGAACAGGCCAGATGCCCTAGCCTTGTGGAAGGGCTGGGAAACGAGTTCCGGCATCAAAAACCATGATTTACGAAAGTTGTCACTGGACTGTTTCCTCAACTTGAAATGTTGCAAAGCCACAGCGAAAGGCCATCCAAGGGAAAAGAGGTTATTCTTCGAGATATCCGAAAAATTCTCATCGGGAAGACCATTATCCTCCCCTCGAGCTCGTGGCGGTGGCCGCGGTGGTGGGCATGGGGGCCTGGGCAACGTAAGTGGTACCGTTTGAATGAATGATGATGTGAAGGCTGACCGATGTTAGCCTCATGCCCCTGCCGCCGCCGCCGCGGCTCCGGCTGTTGCTGATCCTGTTGCTGATCCTATTCCTGATCCTATTCCTGATCCTATTCCTGATCCTATTCCTGATCCTATTCCTGATCCTATTCCTGATCCTATTCCTGATCCTATTCCTGATCCTATTCCTGATCCTATTCCTGATCCTGTTGCGAATACTGCTGCTACTGGGAGCATTTCCACTCCTGCTACTGCGAGCCCCGATGGCCAGGATCCTGCTATGGAAGATAAATGAAATGGATCTAGTCTGATAGCTTACCTTAAGTAAGTTGAAGCAGCGGCTCCCGCAGAAGCAGCATCTCCTCCCCCTTTGACTGCGACTGAGTCCACCATTGCTTGTACTCAAGATGAAGTCATGGAGACAATGCTGAGACCTATATCTTGTGCCTAGGGAACTTGTCAGCGTCGGCAAAGCCGTGATTAGGACTGAGTGTCCTCTGGCTCGAACATGAGGATGACAGTCGTCAGGCTTCTGTGTTCTTCTTCTTCTCAGAATACATGACACCGACCACAAACTACCCTGAAAGAAGAAAGGAATGGATACACAAGATTTCAAGGATACCCTCAGCGGCGAGGAACGTTATCTGGCAGCAGCACAGACAAGTGACTGATGAACTCTACTGAGGAAGGTGTTAATTGATCTGGTGCTAACTGACAGAATGGAAGGTCCGCGAGCCCTTCCTGTCCTGACGACAACCCCAATGAGACCGTTGAGCAACCACCGGAGGTTATCAATATTGATGATCCCGCTAATAACCGTGGCAGTCATGACCTCCCGATCGAGGTAGCTGACGATGATGTTGCTGAGCTTGCGGGCCCGTTGGAGGCGGAGTCCGTGGACGAGTAAGTAGTCATATCTTCCATTGTGCATCTTGTGTCACCAGATTGGTTAATTAGAGGCTGACGAGGTGATGACCAGGCTCCAACGGTTCCAGATATCCTTCACGGTCGACCGCGTAGATCGAAAAACCTGGGCCGACTGCAAGAGGTTTTATAAACTGAAAGGCAGCTTCGGAGAACAGCCGGATGAGACAATCAAGCGCAGGTCACTCAAGCCTCGCCAGGCGTTCGCGGTTTACTGGATGCTGACAATCGAGAATGCACTCAATGGAGAATATCTGGCGGATGATATGGGCTTGGGCAAGGTAAGCAGGCCCCTGACCGTCCAGCATCATTGACCTGACCCGAACACATAAGCGGCTATACCAGATACCTGGATACATTCAAGAGCATCAGCAGCAGCAGTCAAAAAAATTCCGTAAGGAAACCGAATTCCTTTGGGATAACAAGCAACGGTAGCCACCCGTGACTTGGAAGTGCTTAGGACCGGAACAGTTTTCAAAGCTTCAAAAGCACTCGCGCTCTTTGACTTCGCTGGACACATGGCCGGATGGTGCAACCCTCCAACTCCCGATCACCAGTCCCTGGGGACCGTCCGTCTTTCTCATGCCACGCACGCATATGGCGGCAGCTCTCTTGGGTCATCTAGGCTGGGATGAACACGGCATCATGGACGGGTTAAACCTATTGTTTACGGGTCCACCTTTCGTACTACAATCGATGCTTGCAACACGATAGCCGAGTTGTGAGCTATCGCTGAAATTCAAACTTTACGCCGAGGTCTACGGCTGCATTTATGAAGTGACCCGGGCACTGAGAAGTGCCGTAGGTCTAGATGTCGATATCATAGGGAGACGTCATTTCCACCGTAGGAGGTGTTTTGAAAATGTTACTCTACCTATGTAAATAAACGATTGAATGACCGGATCTGTTCGCGCCGTCTTCTAGTTCTGTGGCTCCGAGGATGTCAAGAAAGTGAACGACGACTCGCGTCGGATATCATAGACGATCTACAGTTACATTTTAGGAAGTATCCGGCGCAGGTGAGAGTCGGAACTACCTGTGCTATAGGCGTTCGCTCTGTTAGCGACGCGGAAATGGCTTCAATGGAACCTACAGTGTCCGCACTTGCGCTGTATATTGACTCCCCTTCGAAAACGGCACTGATCCACAGCTTGCCGCAGTAAAACCAGTTTTGCCGTTCCATAAGAGTCCAACGTAGTTGAATCGAATGCCTTTGGGCGTGGATTAGAGCTTAAGAATAGCCTAGAGACTATTTACAAGCAAAGAGACTATCTTCATGCACGCGATGCTCTATGACAGGCAAGTAGGGAGATGAATGAAGTAGAGATTGACGATGCTGCTGGAGCTCAAAGCCAAAGAAAGTGTGCAAAGGAACCCACAACTTCTGTAAAGGGCCGTCGCTAATAGACAGCAGCATCAAAAGGGGGAGAATATGAATATTGTGACATGAGCGCTGAAAGTGGTAAAAATATATGCTAACGCAACTGAACATAATTTGCTGTGGTGAAAAGAAGGTTAGTATCTTCAAGATAGAAAGAAGAACAGTGAATAGAACTGACCTGGGAACTGGCCTTCTCGTCCATCAACTCTACCGGTCCACCATTCGTTCTGGTTATCCGTCCGCTGGATAATCTCAATCACGTCGCCCGCAGAGAAGCTGAGATCACCGTGCGCCTGTGCTTCGTAGTCATACAAGGCTGTAACCGTCTCGACTGCCGCACCGAATCGGGCGGGCTTGGGCTTGGGTGGCGGAGGCGCTGGCTTGGCCTTGGCGGCCGCAACAGTACTTGCAGAGGCCGAGTAGGGTGGAGGGGGGTTGTCAGTCTCCTCGGTGCGATTCGTGCGGGCGAATGTGCTCTTGCTCTCGTACGCCATCTTGTCCTTGCCGGGAGGTGTGAATTTGGAGGGTTGTCGGCCCAGGCCCTTCGTCTTGAAATGGACGATGGTAAGTGCTTCTGCCCGCTCTTTGACGTCACCTCGCTTCTTCTCGAATGCCTCCTCGACATCCAGAGTTAAATCGAAATAGGCGATATTCATGCCCTGCATTTTATCATGCAATGTGTAGAAGACATTCAGCTGCATGTAGTAGAACGACTGAAACAGCGGGCGGATGAACTCGGCTTCGAGGGCAAAGAGTTTGGGTAGCTCATCTTTGAGCAGGTCGTTGTAGTAGTTGAATTCCTGCGTGGCCTGCTCCACGTCATTCTCCGCTTTGTAGAGGGCCTTCTCATCCTTCAGCGATTTGTCCTTCTTCTCCTGGAGTTTCTTCAAAGTGTTGCGGTGTCGATCATAGTCCAGCTTCTTGTGATCTCGCTTCACCGCTACCTTCCGAATCACCTTGATCACCTCCAGCAGTTGATTTGCCGGACTCACAATGCGAGTCTCGATCAACTCTAGCTCGGGCGCAAGTGACTCCTGTAGGTCGCGAACAATTCCTTCGTATTCCTCGCAAGCTCGAATTCCTTCCGGGTTGCCCTCAATGGTGTATGTGCTCGGGTCCGAGGCGCGACCGGAGATGGGTTTGTATAACTCTGTCATGGCTTTGGAGAATTCGATCTGGTGATTCAACATGCCTGTGTGATCATTAGTCCATTTTGCTACCCGGACCCTGCTCAACAGAATCGACCCCGAGCAAATCAGTACCATTAATAGCTTCAAAATACTTCCTGGACTCATCATGAAGCTTCTTCGTCTCCTTTTCAAGTTCTTGAAATCGTCGCTCGGCATCTTGATAGATCGGATCCTTGGTGTGTTCGCCAATATTGAACCGCGCCTTGAATTGCTGCGGTGCGCGAACAATGCTCTTCTGGAAACCCTTCAAACTCATCTCGGTGTTCCTGGTGGTGGAATCTCTCCTGTAGGTGCTGGGCGGAAGTGCTCGGTATAGACAACGGTGGCGATCTAGGTGTGTTTGAGATGATGCTAGGGGGATAAAGGACGAGGGTCTCAGGGAGCAGTAAAGAAAGAGTGATATTAGAGCGAGAAATGGCTCAGTGGTGAGGAGTGGGGGGAAAGCGACCTTCTTGTTGCTTGGAGTGGATTTGCAGCCTTCAGCCCAGCCCAATATACTAGTGGTTCGTCTGCTCGGCGCTGTGGCTGAGCTATGACATAGGATGCTGTTGAGGTAAGTGTGGCTGAGAGGTACCAGGTACGTATTATTCTCTTAGTATTGGGTCACTAAAATGATCAATAGGGTATAGCAATAAGTTTAAATGAATTCAGCATTCGAGACTAATCTAAGGCCATTTCCTTTGCTCATTTGTGCACCGTGGTATGATGAAGTCATACATGTTCCTTGTGACTGAACATACCGATCGATCGAGTGTGGCGCAGTGACGGAGAACCACACCGAATGCCGGAGTCTCCCCTAGGAGCTGGTTTTAGGCACCGGTTATTCAGGCTTGGTGTTCCTTTGGCTTGAATCTAACTTGTGCTACAACATTAGGCATCACTATAATGATCTGTACCGTAACGACTCGACGGTGCATAATAGTGCTCTAATAATCTCCGAGTACGGAGTACACCCTGAGAATATCTCTGACATACTACTCTTCAAGTATTAGACGGAGAGTAAACAACCGCGGGGGATAATCGCGTTTCGCCGTACCCTGCCTTTTCTTCCCCACAGAAGCTATATAAGGGATCTTCCCTCCCCAATCTGCTCATTTGATGACAAAATATGGATATGCTGCCCATTTGACAATTAATCTACCCTGACAAATGATACTTGGGGCAATAGATAGGTCCGCTGATATTCCGGTGGAAAAGACCGAGCGAATTCACCGAGCTATCTGATTGCTCCGCTCCGATCGGGCTTAGCGGCAATGATATAACCGGATCCAAACCTTTTTCTCACTCTTACGAATTCGCGCCTTTCTCCTTAGCTGTCATCCACTCTGCTATCAACAGACCATCAAGCATTTTAATGGTACGGTTGAGCAACATCTAAATTATGTCTAGCGTTACACCATCTGCCTTGAGACAGGCATCTCGTGCCTATGCTCGTCGACTCTCGTCGACTCAGCATGGCTCCCTGGCGACCGCGTCCTTCCCCAGACGGGCGCTCGCCACCTCCGGTGGTGCAGCTTCGAGACGGACATATGTTACCGAGACCAAAACTGGAAACGCTCAGGTCTCGATCGACACAGCCATCAAACAGGAGCAGAAGAACTTCATCAAGCAGACAGGTCTTCAGCCTGGAAAGGTCGAACTTCCCGCCTCTGGCATCTCCGGAGATGCTTCGATGAGTCCCTCTGCGGGTATTTTGAAACAAGCAACTGTTATGGATCAGGGAACACGGCCCATCTATTTGGATATGCAGGCCACTACGCCGCTTGACCCTCGTGTTCTTGACGCTATGCTTCCCTATCTCACCGGCATCTACGGAAACCCACATTCCAGGACTCACGCCTATGGTTGGGAGTCGGAGAAGGCTGTCGAACAAGCCAGAGAACATATTGCAAAATTGATTGGGGCGGATTCAAAGGAGATCATCTTTACGAGCGGCGCCACAGAAAGTAACAACATGAGCATCAAGGGTGTGGCCAGATTCTTTGGTCGTTCCGGCAAGAAGAAGCACGTTATCACAACGCAGACTGAGCACAAGTGTGTATTGGACAGCTGCCGGCATCTCCAAGATGAGGGATTCGAAGTCACATATCTGCCCGTTCAAAATAACGGATTGATCCGGATGGAGGATCTGGAGGCGGCCATTCGACCCGACACGGCTCTGGTCAGCATCATGGCCGTCAACAATGAGATTGGTGTGATTCAACCCATGGAAGAGATCGGAAAGCTCTGCCGTGCGAAGAAGGTTTTCTTCCACACTGATGCTGCCCAGGCAGTCGGCAAAATCCCCTTGGATGTCAACAAGCTGAACGTCGATTTGATGTCTATCTCCAGCCACAAGATTTATGGCCCCAAGGGTATTGGTGCTTGCTATGTTCGACGCAGACCCAGGGTTCGTCTTGAGCCCATCATCTCCGGTGGTGGACAGGAACGAGGATTGCGCAGTGGCACGCTCGCTCCTCACTTGGTTGTTGGTTTCGGCGAGGCTTGCCGCATCGCCAGTCAGGATATGGAGGTGAGTTATCTTCTTTCATAATCCCATGTTTCTTTGGATGATTGTCGACGGGGATTATATATTGCATGAGTTTTTCGGACACCATGACGGTAGCTTCATACCTTTGGTATGTTGTCATGGCTGCATGACGTACATCGCAGGGGTAATGAGTCGACCGCTACTAAAAAAATCTCGTTATGACTTCAACGTTGCTCTGAATTGTTTATGCTAATGTATCGAGCAGTATGATAGAAAGCACGTTGAACGGCTGTCGAAGCGTCTGCTGGATGGACTTCTGGCGATGGAACACACCACGCTCAATGGAGATGCTGAGCGCCATTACCCTGGATGCGTCAACGTCTCGTTCGCTTATATTGAGGGCGAGTCCCTTTTGATGGCTCTGAAGGACATTGCTCTGTCGTCCGGTAGTGCCTGTACCTCTGCCTCGCTGGAACCCAGCTACGTCCTTCGTGCGTTGGGCAGCAGTGACGAGAGCGCTCACAGCAGTATTCGTTTTGGTATTGGACGGTTCACAACAGATAGTGAGATTGACTACGTCCTCAAGGCTGTCCAGGACCGTGTCCACTTCCTCCGAGAGCTGAGTCCTCTGTGGGAGTTGGTTCAGGAAGGCATTGATCTGAACACCATCCAATGGAGTCAGCATTAGAAACTCTCTTATGGTTTACCTCCTCCTTTCCAGGATGACCATGCGAAGTCTGTCCATTAATTCATCATTTTGCAAATTATCACACTCGGGACGGCGTTGGGTTGGCATGTAACAATATGAGATTGATGACGGAACTTGATCCATTTTAAATAGTCTGTACAGAATTGAGCAATGAGCTACTCCAGCCTCGCGCGCCAGAAATATATCAAACTCGATGTAGGCTCATGTCTTCCACCGACACTATCCAGTTTGTCTAACTAGGAAGTACGCTTATATCCGGTATTGCCATAATCCATGCGAGATGGTACTTGATTTCCGGGATAGGTGATCCCCAAAAGGTGTACCTTCCGATCGCCAATCATGTGACCCAAGAATAAACTTTTGAGTCCCTGCTTTCACCGCAGACCCGAATGGGGTGGCGTGGGTGTAGGCGAAAGCGCCGGCGCACTCGCTTATGGAGGGGGAACCGCACCCGGTTTCGCACACTTGCGGGCTGGGAGGCGGCGGCCGCCAGTCAGAGAGGGTTCCGGTTCATTCTCTAGCACTCAGGCTAGCACTCGTCAAATAGTGACCCCCTTTCGCTTCCACCCAGTCTGCCGCTGGTGCTGGCGCATGGCTTCAATGGGTGCATCTGGAGTATCTGGAGTATATCTTTCGATGTTTTGATATAGAAGTACAAAAAGAGTCGCAATAATGTCATTGTATAACCCGCATACTGACTATTCATAGCATTCTAGCATGTTTACCATCATCTCCTCCTCATGCCACCTTCTCTTGCGTGTCTCATCACCCTGTCTCTGGCCCACCCAATGCTCAATAATCATCACTCAGTCTGCGAAAAGTTAGCTTAAGTCGTTTGCCTATATCGGCCTCGTTTTTCCACGGGACATTCGCCCCCTTGTTCTCCGGTCTAAATGATCTCTATTCATTGGCCAGGATTTGTTGTCTCCTGACATTCTGATTTAATGATTCCGTCCTTGCCGGAGGCTTACGTTGTTCTGGAAAGGCCGTCAATATTCCTCACCCAGTCATGGTCAATTCGGTCAATCTCTTTCAGTACTTTGAGCACACGACCATTTATAACTCACAACGCCAGCTCCCATTCTATCCTGCCTTTTCTACGAGCATTATTAATCCTCATGCCATCCCCCACCGGAGGAGCGACATTTTCTACCAAGGTTCCGAATTAGACGGGCCACTGATCATCTTTCTCTCCTTTGCTTGTAGTCTTTTTCTTCCGCTCTTCTCCGCGTGCATCGGGGAAGCGTTGTCTTTTATTGCTGGGATTCCTGCTTCTTTGTGTCACCTATCCTACTGTCTCTTGTAATACAGTGAAATCTGACTGAAGGACTGCCTGGTTGCTTTGTCTCAGACCAGTGTCAATCCAGTCTCGTCCCTTCCGCTGATCGGTGTTTTACCCCAAGACCAGTTGTTTCTCAAGCCTTGGAATATAGGCACAAGATCAACTTCATCGTACGCCCCAGTTCGATCAAAGGATCTGGGGTATCGTCCGATCTGAGCCACTCGGGTGTCAGGTCCGGAGCAGAGTTTAACAAACTTTGGAACCTGAAGTCACGGATTCGCCTCCAGGAGGAAACGCGGACTCCAACATCCGCTAGATAAACAACGGGCTCGGCTTTCATTTTCAACTGCTTAAATCATCCTGTTTTGTATCCGGGCTGTCACTCCAGCTTGTGTGCATTGAACACTGCCTACACAATGCTTCCTCCTATCCCCGCTCTCGCGGACTACGGCATCTCCCCAGATCATGGCTTCCTTCCACCAGAACCGCCACTCGAGGCCCTTCCAGATCCTTACTATGCCAAGTGGGAATGGATAGCATCCAATCTACAGTCTCTACTCCACAGTGGGAGGATGCGGGATGTCGTCAACAGTTTACCTCTTCTTCAGACCAAATACCTACATTCCGAAGATGAGTGGCGAAGGGCTTACGTTGTATTGACCTTCATGCTTCACGGTTACGTCTGGGGTGGCAAGATACCAGAAGAGGTAGGCTTTCTGACAAACAAGTCCTGCAGGTGCACATGCTGATACTGATGGTTGATTCGCAGAGAATTCCACCTCAGCTTACTATTCCCCTTCTCGAGGTCTGCGACCATCTAGAGCTCCCTCCGGTGGCAACATATGCCGCAGTGTGTTTGTGGAACTACAAGTCTATCTTCCCGGATGAACCCGCGCACGACCTGGATAACCTCGCCTGCATCAATTCTCTCACGGGATCACTAGACGAACGGTGGTTCTATCTGATTTCGGTGGCTATTGAGGCCCGTGGAGCACCTGCCATTCCCTTGGTTTTACAAGCTATTTCCGCAGCGCGGACTGGAAATAGCAGAGTGGTCACAGAGTGCCTGCAAAGTATTGCCGACATTCTGGACCAGATCGGTGTGCTCCTCGAGCGGATGTATGAGCATTGTGATCCCTACGTGTTCTATCACCGAATCCGGCCATATCTCGCCGGAAGCAAGAACATGGCTGATGCTGGGTTGCCGAACGGCCTGTTGTACGACGATGGAAGTGAAGAACCCGAGTATCGCCAATATGGAGGTGGCAGCAACGCTCAGAGTTCACTTATCCAATTCTTCGATGTCGCCCTGGGCATCGAACACCGGCCCACCGGCGAGACTCGTCCCGCCAGCACTCCGTCCGAGAATGAGAAGGAAGGCGTTGCAGGAGCACCGCGGCACGGGTTCATCCAGGAGATGCGAACCTACATGCCCGGTCCTCATCGGCGTTTCCTGGAACACGTGAGCGCCGTGGCCAATATCCGGGAGTACGTGGAAGCGCGACGCTCGGACAAAGCGCTCTGCCTCGCCTACGATGCCTGTCTCGCTATGCTGCGGTCCATGCGAGACAAACACATTCAGATGGTGTCTCGATACATCATCATCCCCGCGCGGGATGCACGAAATCGTGCACCCGAGACATCCAGTGCCAGGAGGCCATCAATAACAATGAACCTGGCCAATGTTCGGCCTGGAAGCAAGAAGCTGCGCGGCACGGGCGGGACGGCACTGATCCCGTTCCTTAAGCAGGCGCGCGATGAAACTGGAGAGCCTGCTATTGACGCTTGGGCGCGACGACTGCTAAGCAACGGTCCAGCGGAGCCGAGCTTCGCGGCCCTGAGCAAGTTGGGCGAGCATCCGGACGGCCACCTGGAAGTGGTCGGGCTATCGGGGACCTGGACGGCAGATGATAGTGAGGGAGGTATCTGCCATTGGTAACACGATCAGTGTATTGGGAGGTTATGGCATGACAAAAACGATATTTCATCTTTTTCATATGTTACGAGGCGAGATCTGCGATAGACTTGTCACTTTGCATTAGCGATGCTTCATTATCGGGCTGTATAGACTCCGAACATCTAAATGGCAGCTTGGCACTTTACTCAGCCAAACGCATACATTCTTGAGACTCCACTCCAATCTCCATGATGCATGACGCATTCATGATGCCATCCAGTATGTCGGTTAGCGCCTCCCATGGCCACTCAATATTGGGTGGGGATGTGGCTGCGGAAGCCGAGAACGCTTAGCGTCGTAGTGCTACCGCAGTCCGCAGGCATGGAATCTACATAGGGGCCATGGAGGGAATCCGGCTAATTTCAGGGCGACACTGTGTCCTTATGGACTCCAGCAAGCGCCAGAACCGTGGTTTCTCAGCGGCAGTTTCAGGTATTCTCAAAGAGGCTCAGCGTTGCTCATTTGTGGAGTCGTATTTCTACAAAAAGTGAGGACACAAAATGCACCTCCATCATTCAAGCTAATTCATGTCTAACTGTGAAAGGAGACTCAAGCTCGGACCGTGGACCTGAGGAGGAAAGTTCCGCCGGCTCTGACTGCCTGACATATTCTTGCGACAGTGGCTGAGATTGATTAATTTTCCCTTTGCGATGCCGTCGTAGGATATCAAAGAATACAACTGCACCTATGGTGAGGGCGCCTAGAGGGACACCAACTCCAATCCCGATCTTTGCACCTTCTGCAAGTCCAGATTGGCCTGAATGGGCCATCGAACTTGCCAGGGGCGAAGTTGAAGTTGGACCAAATGAAGATGATGATGTTCCCCTCTGGAGCACACTAGTCGACTTGGGGAGATCGGACGCCTCCCAAATGAGCGGAATCCCATCGGCGTAAACAGTCACCGGGGTTGAGAGTACACTAGTGACAATAATACCAGAGGCCGCCATTGCGACCGTTTCTTTCGCCGGGAGGACACCACTGCATTGGTGGCCACCGGCGTAGTGACTCATGCTCCTAGTCAAGTAAGCAGACATTCTACATCACACCATGGGTCACTCACCAAGGGCAGCAAATCGCTCCACTGGTGCTACTTATTATATCAATCCCGTTCCATGATCCGGATAATTGGCCCGCTGTGGCCCATCCACTGGGGCAGTACAATCCTGGAGAATCTATATTTAACAGTCTATAAGTTCATCAATGCATCCCCTTGGAGGCAAGTCGACATACACCAGTATGTCCCCCAATATGTGGGAGAAAGGAGCAGCGAAGTTGGCATTGTGCCAGTGGGATAACATGTCTGACCTAGTCCATCAAACCAGTGACCATAATACATAGTTGTTTGCGGTATCCCATTCACCTCGTAGACAGCTGTGGATAAAGTCTGAAGGCAGGTAGTTGGGGGAGTAAAAGTGGTGGTTAGTGGCCCTCGGTTGAAGTAGCTGGTTATGTTGACCGGTGTAGCCATTTCGAGGATTTTCAGTCTACAACACCTTGATAGGGGAGAGGAACAGGATGAATTTAGAGCTTTATGGAGTAGTTCTCCAGCTTTGAACTGCAGCGGTCTGACATTATGGCTTAAATAGCGCTATGATGGGCGGTTAGATATCTAAGATTGGATGGAGAATTAACACGCGGTTAGACGGCAGGAATTCGGAGCAATGGCCAATTAGAGTATTCGAGCGTAGCACTTATATTTAATAGGGACGCTTCGTGGTTGTCCACAACAGACACCGGTTACCTGGCATTTCATTAGCAGGCCTATGCGAACGTCTATTACAGCTGAGTTGACCCAACACCAATGGGGTAGAAATACCTATTATAGAACAGGGGAAATCGCCTGGCAGTACATCGTGCGTAATCTGGCGGACCTTGATTGACGGCGGTTCAAGCGGACAAGCAGAATAATAAAATATAAGGATTGTAATCCGCAAGGATTAAAATAAGGCTAGTATACAGGAATATAATATCGATTTGACCAATACACTAATGATAACTCTTTTCTGGGCGCACTGCCAAGGCCTTAGAACCTATCCATAATTGACCAAGCCATATAAAATCAAAGGACAACTGTAAGAGGCGCCAAGTATGGAACAGTACTGTATCTTGCAAATGCATTACAAAAATTCATCCATGGAATTGCTTGGAAACCTAGGGTAGGTTTCAGCGAATACGTGGGGAAGGCGCCTACTAACTTGATGATCTGCTGTTTGACTGTGAGATGATCTCTCTCACAGCTCTATAGATCCTGAGCAGTGCTCAACTTCTGATGCTACAATATTCTTCATTCATGCTGGATGTCTGAGGAATGTTATGTCCCGAAATCTCTTGAGAGGTTTTTGATTATGAAAGACTACGGTATGGCTCTTTGGGTCTCTGTAAATTGAACAGAAAGAACCTGCGAAACCTCATAGCACTTAAGTACTTGGTCGGCCCTCAATGACCTGTCCATATCTGAGCGGGCGCCAAGTGACTGGCTGTTGCAGGGGCCATAATATAACCACTGTCTGCACTCAGGTACCGCGCCACATGCCATAACCACTGAGTTCAGCGGCGGTGCGCCAACAGCAGCATCACTACAGCCGCCTGAATCTACTCTCTCAGATTTTTAAATACTTGAATGTACGGAGTTATGGTTCCTCTATTTCAAATTCTTGCTGTCCCTTAATGACAGCAAACTGCTATCGCACCGTTTTTCACAACTTCTAGCCGCCTAGTACAACGACATGGCCGGTTATGCCGATTATCCTCAGCCCCCGCCAGAGGGGTTTAGACTACTTATCCGACGCTATGGGGTACAGACGTCCTTCTGGCACTGCAGGAACGGAGTCAGCATAGCCACGGGCGAGTATTCCGGCAGCAGGAGCAGACATTCAGAACCATGGATGACGCAATACCTAAGCTATTAAATAGCATCAAAAGGACATCCGCGTCATCCCATTATATAGATACCATTTGTGCATTTCTTTCTGGATGCTGGTGCGTGTGACATAGCCCAAATTTGTGACCACATGCTATGACATCATTACATGATGTCATCCGTCCCGAGCCACAAATATGGAGATGACCGCGACGCAAATTGTCTATATAAAGCCACAGACATCTTTGAAACGTCGAAAAAGCATATCTGAACGAGACAATCATCCAAGACCAGTTTCGAACAAGATAGCTTTGAACAAAAATCCACAAACATCCACGTCTTACAACACAATCAATCACCATGTCTGACAACAACAACAGCAACAATAACAACAACGCTTCCACCCTCAACAGCTACATCAACCAAGCCACTGGCCTCGCCCAGCGCGCTATGGGCTCCGTCACCGGCAACCCATCCACTCACGTAAGCAACCACCACATTCCCGCTCGATGTACCACGTCCAATCCACTAACAGCAGCCCAGGCCGAAGGCGAAGCCACGCACACCCAAGGCAAAGCCGAGCACGCCGCCAGCCACGAAACCGCCAAGATGGGCCCCGTCGCTGCCGACCCGCAGACCGGCGCCGCGGCCAAGGACGACCCCAAGCGCACGCAGGGCACCTGGGACCAGACCGTGGGTTCGGCCAAGGAGTCGCTCGGCAACTTGATCGGAAACGAGAATCTGCGTCGCGAGGGCCAGGAGCAGAATGCTAGTGGCAAGGAACAGGAGGCGAAGGGTCAGTTGCAGGACTGGGGTGAGGGCGCTGCGGACCGGGCTAAGGGGGCTTTGGGATCGGTTGGTGCGGCGGTCAAGGGGGATCGCACTGAGGAGGAGAAGTGGAGGGATGTGCATGATGAGGGGAAGGTCAGACAGAGGGGTGCGGAGGTGGATATGGAGAAGAGATATGATTAAGTTGGCTGCGGCTGGGCCGGTGTCTTTGATCTGGCGGATTGATTCTTTCATGATACCTTATGACTTATGATATGATATCCTATTTGTTTAATGATTTCTGTCCGCGTTCAGTACGTCTCTGTTCAGCTAGCTGCCTGAGCTTGTACATTCTAAATTGAGATTCGCATAAATCGTTCTATCTTGGTTATCAATCTTCAAGCATCCCACGAGTAAATAGAAGACAGAACCCGCCAAGAATCGTCTGGAAACTAATTCCATCAATAGCAATCGCTCATACCATAATTTCGTGCTCTGTACGTAGATTATCAATCTCGGACATAGAGCGAGCTTGTCGGCTTGCCCCTCATAAAGCCAGGTCCACCATTCCTCTCACTATGATCTCATTGCGCTTGCGCCAATGTTCACAACAACCTCAAGTCCATTCCACATCGCCCATCCGACAGATACTGAATACACTAACTAGAATTGTTTATGTTGCGCAACATGGCCAAGTCCTTGACTCTGCGTTCGACATATCGATTGAACTCTGGTCATGAGATTCCCGTCCTTGGATATGGAGTGAGTTGAATATATGAACCTTCCTCGCTATATACAATGCTAATCAATTTTGGCGCTGGGCTAGGTCTACATGATGTGCGTACACATCTACAAATTGATATCCGACTACTGACACCAAACCACCGCGCAGTCCCGCATCTCAAACAGAAAAGTCCACGCTAGAAGCTCTCAAAACGGGTTATCGTCATGTATGATCGCAGCAACCGAGTATGAACACTAGCTGATGTCCCAGGTAGGTAGACTCCGCGATCATGTACCGCAACGAAAAAGCCTGCGGCCGGGCAATCCAGAACTCCGGCCTCGATCGCTCCGAGGTCTTCTTCACGACGAAGATCCCGCCGGGCTCGATGGGGTACGAGCGCACCAAGCGCGCGGTCGAGTCTAGTCTGAGAGAAGCCGAGGTGGATTATTTTGATCTGTAGGTACCTCCCGGTATATGGCCCCGAAGGATATAGCTGAGTCATACGACAGAATCCTCATCCACGCTCCCTACGGCGGCAAGAACGCCCGCCTTGGTTCCTGGCGCGCTCTTGTTGAGGCGCAGGCAGCCGGGAAGACACGCTCGATCGGCGTCTCGAACTACGGTATCCATCACCTCGACGAATTGGAAGAGTACATCAAGGGCGGCGAGGGCCGGGGCAAGATCGACGTCGGGCAGTACGAGCTGCACCCATGGCTGGATAGATCTGAGATCGTCGCTTGGCTTAAGAAACGCGATATCGTGGTCGAGGCGTACTCGCCGCTGGCGCATGGGTATCGGCTCAACGAGCCTGTTTTGAAGACCTTGGGGAAGAAACACGGCAAGTCTCCTGCGCAGATTATGATCCGGTGGAGCTTGCAGAAGGTGAGTCTTCTGTCTTTTGATATCGAGGAGGTATGATTGACGGGAAACAGGGGTTTGTTGCGCTCCCCAAGTCTGTGACGCCGGCACGCATTCAGCAGAACGCGGATGTCTTTGATTATGAGCTGTCGGAGGAGGATATGCAGGCGCTCAATACGGGGGAGTATTCGCCGACGGATTGGGATCCTACTGTCGAGTATGACTGATGTCGTGCGGATTGATATGTTGTGCTAAGAATTGTATGAAATATCAATGCGTAGTATATTTAGTTAAAGACATGCCAATGCTGCAACAATCAGTGATATTCTCTCGTAGATTGAGCCTTCCGACTTATTGCGAAATGTTTTCTATTGCCATTTACCGCATATGCATCCCAATCTGACACAAGCGGTTGGGAATCGTGATATGCAGTTGGCGTGTCGGTCACCGATATGGTTACATTCCCGGAGCGGAAATCACAGCGGGCGCGGGGCTGCTTAGCAATTTGAACCCGATGCAATCCGTCTTATCAAGCGCAATTTGTCACCAATTTCCAAGCTCAACACAACTGCAAATAAATCAATATATCCGGCTTCTATTCCTTGTCTCCTGTCTATAATCAAGGAAATAGCCATGAAGCTGATACTATCCACCTCGTAAGTGGCAACATGCGGTCCTGCTGTGACTAAAGGACTACCCCTCTATCACCGGACGAGACTGATCGAGATGTGCTTCATTTCGCAGAAATCTCATGACGACCGGCGGTTCGTCCGTCATCAGACATCCAGGCACAACGAAATCGAACGTCGAGCTGATCAACGCTCTACGAGCGAACTTTCAGGCTGCGCAACAGCTTGCGGCCGCGGATGAGATCGAGACAAAACCCACGGAGAGATACAAGGCATGGACATCGATGCAGGATGATGCGCTTTACATTCCCGCAATCGATTTCTCGCAGCACGGGCTGGCGGAGGAGAGGTCGCAGTACGATATTACGGTGAAACTGTTCTTTCTACCCGGCATCCCGGTATCGAGACGGTGCGCGCATACGCGGCAGGCGATTGATCTGGTATTGAAAGAGCTACATGTGGATTCTATCGACCTGCTTATTGTTTCCTTCCCCGGGATTTTATTCGACGCGGAGGACGACAGCGAGGAAGAGGTGTCGTCGGATGACGGAAGCGAGGAGCCAGATGACTTTGACAGCATCATTCAGTCGTGGAGGACGCTTGAGGGGCTGCATGAGAAAGGCATGATTGCTCAGCTGGGTGTGGCGGAGTTTGGAAGCGACAGGCTCGCTCGGTTCCTCCCACATACCAAGGTCAAGCCGTCTGTGGATCAGATCAACCTCAAGGACTGCTGTGTCGTTCCCAAGTCGCTGATTCTCTATGCGAAGCAAGAGAATATCCAACTGCTTACGCATAACGACTGCAACGATATCCTGCCGGTAGGCACGACACGGGAGCTGCTGGGTCCAGGGGAGAAGGGCGCTGGGATCCTTGCGTCCGCTCCAGATGCCAACGACGGGATCAAAGGCGATGTTGAGCCACAATGGGTAGTCAAGTACACGGCGGTAGTCAAAGACCGCGGAGTGGTGGAGAACAAGGGATATTTTGCGCTGGCAGACGTAGGCACTTGTGTCAAGACGAGTTCATGAGAATATGCGGTGCTATTCAGTGAGATCTGTTTCTATTTTTGCAAAGTACACATTTTCTTCGTTGCATTGTGCGATAGAGCGTGGGCGCAATATCTTGGTTCTTCAATGATGACGAATGACTGCACGTGTATGTCGTTGCTCTTCCCATATCTCAAATGGACGACAGAGTCGTGGATATAGATCATGGATGCTTCGAGCAAGCTGCTCATCCAATCATACTTCTCTTACGACCTCTCATCCGCACTTCCTCTAACCGTTTCAACGCAGAGCTAGCGCCCTTGTAGCTTTCCTTATACCCGCTGAGGACCTCTTCGAAGAGCGGCTCAGTACGAGGATGGGTGCTACCAAACGCCCTCTCAAGCACGTATAGATCAACCGCGCGGTCTTCATCTTGCAGACTCTGACTAGCCAAGCCAAAATCGATCAGAACAACATCCCCCTCCATGGACGGATTTGTCTCGTCAGTAGCGGATTGCTGCTCCACATGACTAGGCGGTCGCAGGATGAGATTGCTCGTCGTCAGATCCCCATGGATAACACCAGCCTTGTGCAGTGCCCCGACAGCGTGACCAATTCTTCTCATCAGGCCTCGAACCCGCGCTTCTTCCTTTTTCAGTTCCTCCGCGCCCTGGCCAGCCTGGCTCCGCTTCATGTATTTCTCCCACCGCTCCAGTACGACTCGCACCACCAATCCGTCAATCCATTCCATCATCAACCAGGCCCCTCCGAATCCCTTTTCGCCAGTTTGGCCCTCCCAATCCAGCGCCAGCACCGCAGGGACATTGACGCCTTCCCGGACGAGTTTTACCAGGCACCGAGCTTCCTGCAGTATGCGCTGGCGTGTGAGCCGTCGGTCGAGAATCGGGTGGCGGTAGGGCTTTGACGGGCGGATCTTCAGAGCAGCTGGGGTGGAGGGTGAAAGGAAGACGGTCTTGTAGAGATGCGCTTCGGCGCCTTGGGTGAGCAATTGCGGTGGAGGGGTTGTGTTCGTGAAGGGAGGAGGGAGGGGAGGTGGTGTATATGGGTCCGCTGAAGCCATCGTTCGAGATTGATGTCGGTCTCTGTTAATGCTTCTAAGTGCTGCGAAATAGTAAGGTCGCGATCTAGAGTATTTTCAGGTGCTGCAGCTGGCCCAATGATGGTTGTGGATGTGGTTGTGATGAATCAGAGAAAAAGGGACGATTCTTGAAGGTGGGGCAGATGCGTGGATCACCGATCAATCGAGGTACGGCTTCATCCGTCCATACTACGATAAGTGACACGAGGAGCTCCAAAGCGAGGAAAGTCCTCAATTCTCTGTCTTGCTTCTTGGTTTGAATAGCCTCAAATTCCCATAAATTGCATTGGGCTGCAAAGATTCTATTGAGCCGTGGCCGACCTATATCCGCAGGGTTATGGCTCAGGCCGCTGGCGACGGGTAGTATGATATATTATCTACATTTCATGTGCATTACAGACGACGTTCAGTACCACGGCAGCTGATCCAGCTTCGGGAACAACTCATCACCGTTCACTCCCCCTTTCCAATGAAGCAGCTCCTCAACGACGGCCTCCAACTCCATGCCAACAAACAGTGCGTCTTCCATGCCAGGCTTCCATCCTCGTTTCACTCTCTTCGCAGCCAGCTCCTCACCGACACCATACGGATCCTGTCTCCACAGGCCAATCCCACTCTTCTCTTCCCCTGATATCAATGACGCCAGGGGCGTTACTTCCTCCGGAGGATTGATCCCCACGACAGCTCCGGAACACGAAGCTTGGCCCCCAGTCCTCAACCCAAGAGCCGGAAAATGACACTCCATGAAGCGCTGACGCTTGAACTCGTGCGTAACAACAGTGATCTTTGTCGGATACGCTCCAACGTACGATCTGAATCTGAGCAGAGAGAAAAGCACATTCTGATAGGAGTCCTTAGCGTTGGTTTCGGCTATGATTCGGTCAGGATCGATTCTGGAAGAGTAAGAGAAGTAATCATTGTCTTTGGCCAAATTCTGTCGGAGGACGTCAACTAATGTCTCGCCAGGAAGAACGAGATAGTCTCACATGATATGAGGTGCCTTCCGCTAAGTCTGTTCTGTCTTTCTTTGTTGGGCCTCTGTAAAGAATCAGCTACTACAAATCCGCCGGTGTGAGCTACTAGTACTCTACTTACCCGGACAACACCAGCAGTCCATATGGATCGTCCGCCACTGCTCGAAGACCAGCCTGAACATGTGCAGTGAATGTGGGCGTTTCACCCCTTTGGAAATGTTCAATCAACCTAGCCGTAATGCATATAGTTAGCACGCGAAAAGTAGATTTTACAGTGTACTCCATAGTATGTGGACAGGGCATTACGGGACGCTCAATTGCTTGGAATAGCCAAGCTACACATCTCACCATTCGTCCTCGGAGAGACCCTTTGTAGGTCCACCAATGTATATCGCATGACAGCAAACAACTATTAAGTGATTGCAGGCTGATATCTGGAAGCTTGGTGACCTTTCCATCGCTTTGGCCAAGACGTGTGAAAGTTGTGGTTGACAAGACTATCGATAAGCGGATGCTAATTTTGGAGATATTTTAAAGAATCAATGACTGCGGCGCGCTCATGAAACATCGCATGATCCCTTCTCATCAACAAGATCCCGACTTTACTCGATTATATGCAAGCCCAACCCTCTCATCGGAGGGCTCAGTTGGCACTGAATTATCAAAGCAGACCATCGGACAAGGTACTTCTACTTTGTATATTCAGTATGCAAATTTTAATATGAAAATAAGCCTTGGAATTGAGTGAATAATCTATCGTACAGTACACGTTCGCGTGTTTATGGAACAATTGAAAAAAGACCCGCCCAGATATATGAGGTGGTGCCGTAGAAACTAGTCGCAAAAGGAATCCGAAAAGCATCACAAAACTCCATCTCATGACCATATCATGACCATATGTGCGATGCTCAGATGAGAAACATGACGCTGACCTGACAAATGCGAAGGTGGGAAAAAATAACCACCGCAGAATGAACGCCGTGGGTTTGGCAGAGGATTTCACATCCATTTTGTCAATGTGCAACCATAGTAAAGTGAAAAAGACATCAGGACTATGCGTTAAACTGATGCAATAATTAAGGCCCTGCGCCGTGTGAAGTAGATCTTTCCGGAGGGTATCATAAAAAGAGAGTAGCAAAGGAACGGGAATCAACTCAGAGGATCATGGCGGAAGGTGCAGTTGTCGCCCTTGAGACACTTTCCTTCGCGCCAGTATCGGCAAGGGACTAATCCAGCCTTTGGCTATTACAGAGTCAGCGATATGTTTGCAAATCAGGTCTCGGCAGGATACTTACGTGCTTCTTGTTTGGTGCTCCAAACTTGCTTCGCTTGGCGTAGCCAAATCTATCATCACCGGATTCTTCGGATCCATCAGTCTCACGCATACGCTTGCGCTCCGGGTCTTCGTAGTGTAGGCCAGAAGGTTGAGATGAACCAGCCTGCTGATTTTGGTTGGCGAACTGTGAGATTATCGCAGCGAGATTCGGCGCCATCGCCGGTTGCGATGGTGGGACTTGGGGTACAATAGGCGCAGGCGGCATCTGTTTTTGCGCACTCATGACAGCCAATATTTTCTGGAAATCGAGGCCCTGCGTCGCTGGTGCCTGAGAAACGGCTGGGAACTGGGGAATTTGTGGAACTTGAGGCTGCTGCTGGCGGAACATGCTGATGGTCCGCTCCAGGTCAGACATGGGCGCCTGTGACGCAGGCTGAGGTGGTGGCGGCGGCGGCGGCGGCGGAGTAGACTGTTGCTGCGATGCATTCTGGATGATTTTAAGCAAGTTCGAGATGTCGAACTGGTTGGTTTGAGCAATAGGCGGCGCAGCTGCAACAGGGGCCGGCTTCGGGTTGACCGCTGCGTAATATCGTTCTTGTCGAACCTAGAAACATGAATATCAGAAGCCCGCACAAAAAGTTGCCTGACAAGGAAGAATTGGATGTTTTACCTTGATGTGATCCGGCAATTCTCCGAAGGTAGTCACTTCAGCCACAGGTTCATCAGCGTCAGTCTGGGGCGGCTCCTTTGGCGAGGGAGGAATATCCGCGGGAGACGTGTAGAAAACCATGAGCGTATTAGCTTCCCGATGATCCTGGGCCTGCTTCTCGGGACTAGAAGGCTCTTGCGTGCCACCTCGTTTGAAGTAGTTTCTGGAGCGATCCTCAGATGCCATGTCGCCTTTGTCAATTTCTAGATGCCGTTAGCAAACATCCCATACCTTGCGTCAATACCAGCTTACCAGAAGGCTCTGTATAGTCCATCAAATTCTCTTCGCGAATGACGCCATCATCGTCATCTTCCAAGTCTTCAAGATCTCTGTGCAGTTTAAGGGCACTACCCTCTCCTTTGATGTCACCAATTTCTCCCTGTGATCGATCACCCGGTCCTAGCTCCTCGTCAGGGTCGTGGGTGAAGAGACGGACTTCCGTAAGAGACTCGTCAGGTTTCCACGTAACGCGCAATTTTCTTCGAGCCTCCTTGCGAAGTCGCCTCTGGCGTTCTTCTTCGGATTCAGGGGGTCGATCCTCAGCAGGCTCAACTGATTCAGGGTCCTTTTGCTTATTAAGATCTGCCATAATATCGCCAAAGGAGAAAGTAGGTCTAGGAGGTGGCGCCTGAGTTTCTTTCTTTTCGGCCGGAGGGCTGATCATTGTTAGCATCATTTCTGAAGGCCCACATACAGGAGCCTCGCATTCTGCGTACCTTGTTTTCGCTGCGGCAGCTGCGGCGGCAGCGCGCTCCGCATTCGAGGTGCCTGGTCGTTTGGAAGCAGAAATCAAGCTACCAAAAAGGCTTGTAGGCTTGGGAGCGATAATGTTTGCCTTCGGACGCGAGAAAGCTGCAGCAGATTTGTTTTCCTGAGCTGTCTCTTGCGGGCGCTTGACAGAGCCATTAGTGTTAGCGTTGCCCGCCTTTGCACTAGGCTTGATATTGGATGTTACAACCATCCGCTTCGAAGCATCTTGGCCATTGGTTTCTCCTTCCCGAGGCCTCTTCGAACCAGTGATTTCGGGACGGGAATTAATTGCAGGTGCTGCTTCAGAGGCAGAGCTCTTGGTCGCCGACCCCTCTTTAGCTGCGGGCTTAGTCGCCTCCTGTTTTCTTTTCGTGGAAGCAGCAGCATTATCTAGGATCTTCTGAGAGAGCTCCTTGACAGTGGGACCCCCCTTCTTCACGAAACGGGGTAGAAGTTTGGCAATATTGGTTTTTTGGAGTACCTCCTCGTCCACGGTGCCAAAGCGTGCGAGTAACTATATTTCAGACGCTCTTAGTCCCTATGTCGAACCGGAAGCCTAAATAAAAATGGGTGATGTACCTTGAGTATATTAACCGTGAATGCCCCATCCACGTCGGACGCTTGATGCCGATCTAGAAGAAAGGAATACATGGCAGCGAGCGCCATCGGATGTTCTCCCAACCTGAACCTCCATGTTAGCCATTCAGAACCCGGAAATGTGTAACTGATAAATGCAAATTTGGAAAGAATCCGAGGTACATGCGACAGATTCAGCCAACTCTAACGGGTCAAGGTTAGTTCGTTGGCATTTCAGCGCTTCCTCAAGATCGATATTAAGAGCCCAGTTGAGAACCACAGAAAGGGATTTTATCCTTCTGGTCCTCGGGCACAGAGCGATTAATCGCTCGTACTAACAATCATCTTCTAAGAAGGCTTCCTGACCATCGACGCTAATAGATTACGGGGACAGATTTCTCGATTCGTTTCTGACTTCTAAGGCCATAACGACGGAATTTGTGAAGAACAAGAAAAGAAAAAGATAAAGGACATACTTCTCAACGATAGCCGGGTGGCCTTTTTCAAGAGTGGTACCGACAACCACATCCATCAGGCGACGTTGCAGGACAACATCCTTCTTGAGCTGGGCTGCTCTGTCGTTCTCATCTTTGTTCTCTGCCATCTTCATCGCTTGACTGCTTTCTTTCCACGCATCCCTCACACGTTTGACAACGTCTTTAAATGCAACTAAAGCATTTTTGACCTTATCAGCGTTGGGTCTGCGATTGCGTGGCGACCAGACGGCTTGAAGAGTATCGTATTCCACAGCAGCCTCCGGTTCACTTGGTCGTGTCGCCGGTATGGGGGATGGCTCTTCGGGAAATTGAATTTCTAGGTCGGAGTCATCAGAAGTCTCGCTTTCCGATGCCGAAGACTTCTTCGCAAGTGTTGTTGATTTCTTTGACACTGTCTTTGTGCGAGCTTTCTTCTTCGGCGGTTCAGTTGGTTTTACCTGCAAAGTTGAGTCCACAGAATTTTGACCTGAATATTATTGATATTAGCTATTTAGTCCAATAAGGCCACCATGAAGGCAGATGGAGAGGGAAATGCCGCGGACCACATACCGTTGACTTGGAAAGTTCCTTCAAAAGCATTTTGACCGGGAATAGGTCGATTATTACTTGTACTCTGACCCATAACAGATGGTACTTGCAAGTCGTTCTCGAAGAAGTTAAACAGCCTAGCACGGACTGTAAGTTGATGCCTTTACTTGAAGAATTTATGAGGGTTTAGAACTTACTTCCCATCATCGGGCCGGCCATAGTCAGCTGAATTCACGTACAGAAAAGGGTTTTGGAGAGAAGAAGTTTGATTAGAAGAAGACTGCTGTGCGGGATTAAGAATCTGAGGATTGATGGTGGGGTCGTCGGTAACGTTTGTAGCTGGCTCAGTATAATTGGTCATAAAATTCATCTACTGTATGTCAGTGAAACGTCCTTGAGATGATCAGTCCTCTGTCTTCTTACCGAGTTCCCGTCGGAGTATCCGGCAGGAAGCGAGTACGATGCAATAGGCGTTTGATGTGCGACAGACTGGTAATGATTTTGCTGGGAAGTCTGCGATCGAGGGGCCTGCGGTGAATTTGATTGAGAGAAGGCATCTGGGAGCGACATGTGCTGAGAAGAATAAAAGTTCTGAGGGAATGAGTAAGATTGATATGGAGGGTTGTCCGTTGCAGGGAGAGGCCGTGAATCGAACGTCACCTGGCCAGGAGGATATCGGTGAACCTGATGATACTGAGCGGGCACCCCATGACCTTGTGGAGCTGGCGAAAGTATCTGTTGTTGTTGTTGTTGTTGTTGTTGTTGTAGTGAATTCTGTTGCCACGACTGAGGAGCTGACGATGAATAGATGCCATGATCATGCTCTTGATGTGATGGCACTTGGGTCCTTTGCTGATGCTGTTGACTGAAGATCGGATGGTCCCAGCTGATCCCCATTGACTGAGTTTGTTGTTGCCGATGTTGTTGTTGCTGGTGCGACTGATGCAGCTGCTGTTGGGTGGGGTGTGGATGTTGGTGTGGAGGATCGGGACCGGGATATAACGAATCCAGATTGTTCCAATATTCGGGCTGAACTGAGCCAGGAGTTACTGAGCTGCGATGCAAGCCAGGCATCATGCCCTGTGACGAGGGACGATCCATTTTGTGCTTAATTTGCCCGTT